CCCTGCCCCCAGGGCCTCCCTTCTGGGGCTTGGTGAACGCAGCCTGGAGCCTGTGTGCCGTGGGGAAGCGGCAGAGCCCCGTGGATGTGGAGCTGAAGAGGGTTCTTTATGACCCCTTCCTGCCCCCACTGAGGCTCAGCACTGGGGGAGAGAAGGTAAGGGGCCTGGTGGGAGGGGTTGCCAAGCCCACTGCGGTTGGTCTGAGCAGAGGCTGGGGTGGTACACTGCGGTGTGGGGGGGCCAGCCTTGGGGAAGAAGGGGTACACGCTGCCACCCTACAATGGGTCCCCTGTTCTCTCCTCCCCGCACGTGGCTCACTCATCTCCCCATCTCTGTGGAAGCAATGGTAAAAGCCAGGCATCGTCTTAAAAGCTTGTTAAACCCTCTCATCCTCACAGCAGCCCCACGAAACAGGTGCTAGTGTCCTTATTTTATGGCTGCAGAGATGAGGCACAGCGGTCCACTTGCCTGAGGCCACGCAGCTAGCGTACCAGCACTGGGATTCAGACCCAGGCAGTGTTGTCCCAGCATCTGTGCATGCTTCTCGCCCACCTGGCAACGCCATTTCTTAGGAGGGCCAGCACCATCCTTCACTCACCTGCCCCAGCTGAGAGCCTCAGAGCCATTTCCCACCCTGTTCTCTCCCTCATTCCCATGTCCAACATGTCCTTCCGGTCTCCCCGCTGAATATCATGCACTTCTTGTCGCCTTTGCTGCCCCCACCCGGGCCTTGCAGCTGGACTGGTGCCATGGCTTCCTTGCTGGCCTGTCTGTCTGTCTCCTGCAGTCCAATCCCCACCCCACAGCTAGAGAGATGTTTAAAAACACCAACCAGATCATACCTCCCCTGTTCAAAATCCTTCTGTCAGCATAAAAATAGCAAACACTTGCCTGGCACTGTACCAAGTGTGTGTGTGTGTGTGTAGGGAAAGAGGCAGGTGCTCACACATGTGTGCGCATGCACACATACACACACATACATATATATACTAGTACTGCCCACGAATCCGTGCACCAGTAGCTCTTTGCCCACTGCCCTGCCCTCCTGTAGCTCTGCGCTGCCTGCTTGCAGCTCGCTGCCCACCCTCTTGCTCATCCCTGATAGGGTCATTACACGGTAGGTGTTATGCTTCACGGCGGAATGACCATTTGCATATACATCTTTATTAAATATATTTAACAGTTCAAATAAAAATACAAAATGTCCCACCTAGCTCTCATCACCATTCTCTCCTTTCTTTGCTCATGACTCTAGTCCCATGGGCCTCTTCGCTGTCACTCAAATAGTCCGCCTCAGGGCCTTTGCACTTGTTGTTCCCTCTTCCTGGAATGCCCTTCTCCCTGTTCTTCCGAACTCCAATCCAGGCCGGATTCCCCATTATATTTTCCCAGCACGAGAACAGAATGTAATGAATCAAGCAGTTACTCATGTGAAACCAGTATGTATTGTCTGTCTCGGCCCAATCAGAACATAAGCTCCATGAGGCCCGGGATCTGTGTCTACTTGTTCATCGTTCTCTTTCCGGCATCCATGGCGCATAGTAGGAACTCAATAGATATTGAATTAGGTAAATTCCCCAACACTGAGCACCTACCATGCACCAGCACAGAGCCTGGAAAGTCATAGGTGCTCAAACTGTGCTGAAGGATGGAGGGATGGTTGGAAGCAGAAAACGTAGGCATGGAAACGGGAGGAAAGAGATCTCTGTGTCCGTCTCTCCCACAGCTCCGGGGAACCCTGTACAACACCGGGCGCCACGTGTCTTTCTTGCCTGCACCCCGGCCCGTGGTCAATGTGTCTGGGGGTCCCCTCCTTTACAGCCACCGGCTCAGTGAACTGCGACTGCTGTTTGGAGCACGTGATGGGGCAGGCTCTGAACACCAGATCAACCACCAGGGCTTCTCTGCTGAGGTGCTGGCCACTGACCTCTGACCCTTGATCCTTGCCCTGGGTCACCCTCACCCTCTTCTTGCCTCACCACATCCTCCATACAGAACTGCCCCCCCCCGAACCTGCACTAATCCTTAACCTGACTTGGGACCCCCCGAGCTGCCCCATTCTCTCCCCCTCCTGCTGGAGCAACCCCACTCCCCATGTTGCCCTCCCAGGTGCAGCTCATCCACTTCAACCAGGAACTTTATGGGAACCTCAGTGCTGCCTCCCGGGGCCCCAATGGCCTGGCCATTCTCAGCCTCTTTGTCAATGTGAGTCCAGGCAAGATCCGAAGGAGGGAGGGAGGGCGGGCGGGAGGGAGGGAGGAGGCGGGGCGGGGGGGGGGAGAGGCCCAGACTCCTGGGTATTGCAGGAGGAAGGGCTGTTGGGCTTGGACTTCTGGGTTCCTACCCCCCCTTCACCTCACCCCCCCCACACACAGGTGGCTGGCAGCTCAAACCCATTCCTCAGCCGCCTCCTTAACCGCGATACCATCACCCGAATCTCCTACAAGAGTAAGTCCGTGGTGCTTTGGTGGGGGTGTGCCCATGAGGGGGGCTCAAGTGTGGGGACCCCTTCCTCACGCTGGCGCAATATGCCCGCAGATGATGCCTACTTTCTTCAAGACCTGAGCCTGGAGCTCCTGTTCCCGGAATCCTTCGGCTTCATCACCTATCAGGGCTCTCTCAGCACCCCGCCCTGCTCCGAGACTGTCACCTGGATCCTCATTGACCGTGTCCTGAATATCACGTCCCTCCAGGTGACCCCCTATCTCCCCGCCTTTCCCAGGTTGACTGGAAATTCGAGGGGTCAGAGGGTCAGGTGGGGCCGGGGTGGAGCTGAGCAAGGCCCCTCAGATCGGCTCCCAGGGGCGGGGCTTCCCGTGTGACGTCACCAGCATCCTACATTCACTCCCCTCTCTCGGCAGATGCACTCCCTGAGACTCCTGAGCCAGAATCCTCCATCCCAGATCTTCCAGAGCCTCAGCGGGAACGGCCGGCCCCTGCAGCCCTTGGCCCATAGGGCCTTGAGGGGCAACAGGGACCCCCGGCACCCAGAGAGGCGCTGCCGAGGCCCCAACTACCGCTTGCATGGTATGGTCCAGTCTGCACCCCCCTCCACCACCGCGTCTTGGTCTAACCCGCCTCTGTGCGTCTCCCTCCGGTGTGTCAATATGATAAAGTCCTACCCGCCTCTGCTTCTGTATGGTCCGGCCTCCTGAGTTCTCACTCGCTCTGTCTCCCTCCCCCCTCTGTGTCAGCGTGCTACAGTCCACCTCTAAGGCCCCCCTCCCTGCCACAGGCCATTGCTGGTCCATGGTTTGTCTTTCCTCTTCGCTGCTTGTAACGTGCACCTTGGTACAGAACCCGACACCCCCGGCTTCTCTGTGGCACGATCACCTGTTGGTCTGTGGTTCCTCTCCCAAAGTGTTGGGACCCGGATCCATTTCCTGTTTCCTTGTGGTATCAACCCCTGTGCTGTCCCATAATCCCCCATTTACTGAGAATCAATATGGTTCAACCCCCTTTCCCTCCCTACTTCCTCCTCTCTCTCCCTTCAGCCCTGAGATCTAAACGGCCACCTCTCTGGCTTCTCAACAACGTGGTACAGTCCAGGCTCTCCCCCCCACCCCCACCCCGCTCCCTTCAGGAAGACTTTCTGGTAGTTCAGCCTGATGCTGAAACTGAATGTCCCCATTCCACCCTCCCGCTGCCTTCTACGGCTCAGCCTACTGCAGGGCCGTGTATACAAGCCTCTCAACCTGGTCCATTCCGGCCCCCCCTGCTCAGCCTCCCAGTGGTAGAGCCCTGCCGGCCCAGCCCGCCCCCTGTACGCCCCCCTGCACAGCCCGGGCTGCTGCGCCTCGACTAACGTCCTCGATCGCTGTCGTCTGTCTTACAGTGGATGGTGCCCCCCATGGTCGCTGAGACTCCCCACCGAGGATTGCGCCTGCCCTTCCCAGCCCTACCCAAGAGGGGAGGGGAGTCACCCCCAAAACAAAGCTATTAAAGGGACAGAACACTTCCTGTTTCTCAGTGGTCTGATTCGAGGCGCGCCCGGGCGTTGAAGAACAGCACCCTTCTTCTAGAAACCAACCTCCCGTCTTCCTAAAATCCCACCGTTCGGGTTCTGGCTTCCGAATTCCCAAAACAATCGTTGGGATAGGCGGCTCCATGGAGGGGCGCCTCTCCCACGCGCCCCCACCCCTTCCCCACTCGCCGGGTCAGGCAGCACGCGCAGAGCCATGTGCTTCCTCCTCCCGCCTGTCTCATTGGCTCGAACTGGGTCACGGTCCCGCCCCAGCGCCGTCTCCCATTGGCCAAATGTAGGTCAGGGTCCCGCCTCCCACGAGGAGGCTGGGCAACTTCGCGCACTGGGCCCCGCCCTGTGTCCCGGGCCTCGGCGGATCCGCGGGTCCCATTGGCTGAGCGTGCGGAGGGGTAGGGACGCGATTGGCCCGCACTTTCAGCCCGAGGGAGGCACGCGGCTGGGGTGCATGGCCCAAGAGACGGGCGGGGCTGGGGCTGGGCGTGCGCGGGCGGGGGCCGAGAGGAGGGGTGCTCGCTGTGGCGTCCGGTGTTTTGGTTTGGCTTTTTTTTTTTTTTTTCCGCGAAAGAAGTTTGCTTTGGCCACGCCTCAAGGCTGCCGCCTCCTCCGGCCCCCTCACCCGCCCCTCCGCGCTCACCTCTTGGTGCAGATTGCAAAGCGCCTTCCGTTGAGAGAGCTGCAGATTTTGCAAGAGCCAGGCTCGCCCACCTTGTAGAAGGAGCGCCCTGGGTCCCCGTCAGCCCTCGGTTGCAAAGAGCTGGCCGTCTGACCTGATCATCCCCTCACCCAGACTGCATGGTCTCCTGGGACCCTCTAGAGTTGCACGTTTCTGCAGCGAGGACTGCAAATCCCCGTCGCTCCTAGGATTCGCACTGTTCTGGATACTGGGATCTTGCAAGCTACGCTCGCCCGCCCCTGGGCAGTCGCTCGCCCGAACCGCAGGAGTGTGTGCCGCTGACCGGCAGGCCAGCTCTTCGCCTCTCCATGAGACCCTAAGCCTGCGGGCAGGTGCCCGGCGATGGCGCGGCCCGTCAGCGACAGGACCCCGGCCCCCCTGCTGCTGGGCGGCCCGGCCGGGGCCCCCCCTGGCGGGGGAGCGCTGCTGGGCCTGCGGAGCCTTCTGCAAGGGACCAGCAAGCCCAAAGAGCCAGCCAGCTGTGAGTTCTAGCCCCCACCTTGCCCAACTCAGACACCTTACTCCCTTAGGGACTCAGGTGCCGGGGGAGGGGGGTCCGCAGCTACCTTCTCCGTGCGGGGGAATCCATCTCCCCAACCTTTTCCCCTTTAACTTAAGGTGTTTAGGTCCTCAGATCTTTCAGGACCCACGACCCAAAAGTACCGGCTGTCAAGCCCGCCTACCACGAGGGACCCAGGAGAGTCTAGGCCAAGCCCCCACCCCCAGTGTCCTTCTCCCGGAGGGCCCGAGAATCTAGGCCCTAACTCCTCTTCCTTTGGTTCCAGGAGTCTGGACCTCTGAGGTCCAGGGAGGAGAGAGAGGGGGTGTGTCTGATGCTCACACGGTAGTGACACGGGCTTGGGCGGGGCCTCCTGGGGTCACATGGAGTCTAGGGATGAGGAATGTGCCCCAGGAAGAGCCCCTTCCTGTCCCTTACAGGGAGTGGGGGTAGGGAGAGGGGATTCAGTGCGGGGTGGGGGTAGGTTGCAGAGGAATCACAGAGCCGTCTTTTCTCTCTCTCTCACCTGCCCAACCCCTCCCCTACCTGTGTATGAACTTCCGTCCCTCTTCTGTCTGTCCCTTACCGGGTCTCTGTCCCCATCTCGCTCTGCACCTCTGGCCTCCCCTCCCTCTGGGTCCCCGTCCTCCCCTCTGAGTTTCTGTCCCTTTCTCCATCTCTGCCCGCCTCTGACCTTTCTCTATGGGTGTCTTTCCCTCTCTGAGCCTCTGTCCCCCCTCTTTCTGGGTCCTTGCCTTCCCTCTCCGGTCTCCCTCCAACCCCGTCCGCTCCCTCTTTCTCTGGATCTCCGTCGTGTGGGTCTCTGCCCTCCCTCTGCTGCTGTCTCCCTGACGCGGGGTCTCTTTTCCATTATTTCCATCTCCATCTCCCTCCCCCCCTGCCCTGCCTCCCTGGCCCCCAGGTCTCCTGAAGGAAAAGGAGCGCAAGGCGGCTCTGCCCGCAGCCACGGTCCCCGGGCCCGGCCTGGAGACGGCGGGCCCGGCGGCGGATGCCCCCGTGGCGGCGGCGGTGGGCGGCGGGTCCCCCCGCGGGCGCCCAGCGGCTGCCCCGGGCCCGAGCCTGTTGGCGCCGCTGCTGTGGGAGCGGACGCTGCCGTTCGGCGACGTGGAGTACGTGGACCTGGACGCCTTCCTGCTGGAGCACGGGCTCCCGCCCAGCCCGCCGCCCCACGGCGGCCCGTCCCCGGCACCCTCGCCCGCGCGCACGCCCGCGCCCTCCCCCGGACCCGGCTCCTGCGGCTCCGCGTCCCCTCGCTCCTCGCCGGGGCACGCCCCCGCCCGGGCCGCCCTCGGGGCCGCCGGCGGCCACCGCGCAGGTGCAGCAGGGGGCGGGGCCTTGGGCGTTTGTGGGCGGGGTTCGCCGGCGGGGGCGGGGCTTGGGACGCCGGGCGCGGGGCGGTGGGGGGACCCGGGCCGTGCTCCTGGGCTCTGGGCCCCCTAGTTGAGAGAAGCTGGGAGAAGAGTCGGATTTCCTGACCCCGAGTGGATCAAGGGCTGGGTCTCCAGGACTCCACAACAGAGGGACTTGGGGCCCCAAATTCCAGGAAGTCTGGTGCAGCCAGGACTGAGAGCCCACAACACCGGAGTTATTTAGCGAGAAGTGGACTGTACCCCCATATTCTTGGCCCGGAATGGGTGGAACTGGGATAGGATCGAACGCCTAGACCCTCTACTAGGGAGAAGGCGGAGGGCTGGGCACAGACTGGCTCCCTACACATAAAGGACTGTCTACCCTGGTTTCTGGGTCCCCCTTTGGAAAGGGTCTGGAGCCCCCGGGTCCTGCACTCCAGAGGGGAAGAGGCCGAGGAACTTCATTCTAGGTCTTCCATTGAGGCGAGGGCCGATCTTCCTAAATTCCTGGAAAAGGAGGGGCCTGGGATTCCAGAACCCTGTGCACCCTGTGGCGAGGGGATTAGGCTAGGGCCCTAGGGAGAAGATCGAGGGGGTCGGTTTTCCTGTGTTCCCCAGAGAGAAGGGGGGACTGGATCCTTGGAGGTTGAGAAGTTCGAGCCGAGAGACCCGAAGGAGCGAGAGGAAAGGGGTGCTCCCTCTGGCATCTTGGGGTCTCCGGGGTCTGGCAGCAGCAGGTCGGGGGTTCCTGGACACACCTGCCGCTGGCCCAACCCCCAGGCAGAGCCAGGGCCCTCCCCCGCCCAGCCGCACACTCCCGCGCCACGTGAGTCCTCCCCTAACCTCCTCTGGGCTCCGCGCACGCGCGGTCACGCGCGAGGGGGCGGGGCCTGGGGAACGTGAGGGAGCCCCGGCGGGTGCGGAGGAAGCAGGCGCCCGCACGTGACTCGGCCCTGAACCGGTGTCCTCAGCTGACCCTGCTTGCTGGTTCTTAAAGGCGCAGGCTACCTGCCTGCCCCCCTTGAGCCAACCTCCTGGAATCTCAGAGCCCTTCCTGCTTCTCTTCCCTAACTCCTGAGAGCTGATAGTTCTTAGGAGGCTCTGGAAGTCTTTTCAGTGCATTGGATTCCATTTTCCTGGACAGGTCTAGGCATCGGCCAGGGATTCAGGAAGGATTCAGGCTAGCCTTATGGGGAAGAAACGAACACTGACTCTGAAGGCATGAGGTTTTGGAAGCCCAGACTCAAGTATAACAGGGCAAGCTAGGTAATGATTGGGCCTCAGTTTTCCGGTTTGTAAAGGTGTTGGCTTCGTTATTTCTAAGCGTCTTTATGGCTTAGGGAACCTTCATATTCTATATTAGGGTTTGTTCCCTGGCAGAGTATGTTATAGCCTTCATTGTGGTGGATACTATCCCTGCGCAGAGAGTGTAGCATCTGGGAACTTCCTTCCCCTAACAACTACACACTCAGGTGACACATTTTATTTCCCAAAGGCCTGACCTCTCGGGACACACCTAGCCCTGTGGACCCAGATACCGTGGAGGTGCTGATGACCTTTGAACCTGACCCTGCTGACTTAGCCCTGTCAAGCATTCCCGGCCACGAGACCTTTGACCCTCGGAGACATCGGTTCTCGGAGGAGGAGCTTAAGCCCCAGCCCATCATGAAGAAGGCCAGGAAGATCCAGGTGCCAGAGGAGCAGAAGGTGAGCACCGCCAGATGTGGGACCCAGGCTTGGCCAGCACAGCCCCCACAGCCAGGGCACCTCACACTCAGGCCTGTGTTCTCACTAGGATTCACTCGCGGGTTCTTCTGCAGTCAAGGGCTGGTCCTCCTTGGCCATGGGGTGCAAGGGGGCAACGTTTTGGGCTTGAGATTTATGAAGATGGCGTAGTTATGGGACACAGACACAGCCAGCCCTGCTGGACCCAGTTGTACAGATTTGGAGTTTCTCCTGGACCCTACCTTTCAGGGGGGCAGGCTTCAGGCTCTGCTGGGCTCAGTTGCTAAGGACAGCACTTTTTAGCAGTGGGTGATCAGCCTGTCTCTTATCAGCCAGCCAGGCTAGGGCTTCGATCTCTGGTTTGAGGCATCTTTTGGTGTGATTGCATCTGCCTAGGACGCAGACTTTGTCAGCCCTCTAGGCCTTATTTCCTAGGTCTGAACTGCCTCACAGGCAAGAAGCCTCCGGCTCTGATGGTCAGCCAGGACCACATTCCGATTTGGGTGCTTTGGGCAGTGACTCATCTTGCTGGCATTCCGTCTCTTCCAATTCTGGGGTCTCTCCCAGCAAGAGGTGCCTGGGCTCCTCTCACAAGGCTTTGCCCTGCCTTCGTGTAAGACACAACTGCTCAGAGCAGCTAGGTCAGGCCTGCGAGCCAGATCTAGATCTGTGTTTCCCCTGCCACGGGACTGGATTTGCCCTACCAAGCAGGAACTAGGCTGTAATTAAATGGGGGGGGGGGCAGGGGGCATGTTCCAGAACCATGGGTGCCCCTCGGCAGTAAGGAATGGCCTGCCTTTGCACCAAATTCTAGGACTAAAGAGCCCTGGGCATAGTCTTGTGGGGAGGGCTCAGAATAGCTCCTTCACGGAAGCATAAATGGGACCTGTTCAGTGTGTGTGTGGGGGGGGTGCCCGCAACCCCACGGCTTATTTCTATTCCAGGCCAGTTCAGAGACCAGCTGCAGTCCTTGGGACCACTTAGACTTTACTTTTGTTTGATGAGGAGGGATGAAGTTGCCTTGGCAACAAGGGCCAAAGGGACCGGCTCTGGGAGGACTTTATGGGTAGACATCAAATCCCTGCCCTGGGGAGGCTGGACTTTCCTTAGCAACCAGGATGTGGAAAGGTGATGTACAGGGCAGTGCTTTTCACTGGCATCTCACACCCTGAAAGCCCTGTTGCTAGGGAACAAGCATCCTTAGCAACCAGGAGCTCACTGGAGCCCTTTGTCAAGTGAGGACCGGGCCTCTGCTTTGCACACTGGGGACGTGAGGCCCCGTTGTTGGGGGTGGGAGGCCCTCTCGTGCCCTAGCCTTTGCTAGGGTCCTGCTCTCCTTAGCAACCAGGGCCCTAGATGGGCAGACCCTTGGATACCCGTCTCAGGGGAGACCCCCCCCCCCCGCTGAGCAAGTGGTGGCCGTGCAGTGCCTTTAGATCCCCTCAGGTGCTTGAAGGAACAAGCCAAGCTGCTCCTCCCTTCTTCTTTCGCTGTGGCTTGGGGGTGGGGGCCCCTCTGGACCTCAGCGCTTGTCCACCTCTGCACCCCCAGGACGAGAAGTACTGGAGTCGGCGGTACAAGAATAACGAGGCGGCCAAGCGGTCCCGCGACGCCCGGCGGCTCAAGGAGAACCAGATATCGGTGCGGGCGGCCTTCCTGGAGAAGGAGAACGCCCTGCTGAGGCAGGAGGTGGTGGCGGTGCGCCAGGAGCTGTCCCACTACCGCGCCGTGCTGTCCCGCTACCAGGCCCAGCACGGGGCCCTGTGAGGCCGGCCCCCCGCTCGGCGGAGCTCCCGCCGCCTCACTCAGACTTGCGCCCTGACACCCCCTCTCCTCCCCATCCTGTGGTCCACGGGCCGGCCGGCTGGGTGCCCCGGGGATGTGATGACGATGCAGATAAATACATTTATATTTTTAAGAAAAAGCGAGCCTCCCCCCTCCCTCGCGGGGGCGGGGAGGGTCCTCTGTGTGTGCCTCCGGCACGGCGGGGACCCCGCCCTCCCACCGCCTCCGCTAACACTGTCCTGAATAAATCTTGATAACCCAGAGCCCGCTGTCGTGGGGAGAAGGCAGCTCCCTGGCCCCGGGTCAAGGGCAGGGTCACTGGCCGCAGTCTGCGGGTTCGTCTGGGCTCCGGGCCGGGAAAGGCAGGGGCTGCTGGAGGTGCCGGCTCCGATCCCTCCCCCGGGCTGCCGCACAGAGGCAGGGGCGCGGGGCTAAGAGGAATGTAGCGACTGCCTTTATTGCATAGACCTTTTCAATTGCTTTGAAGATCGGGGTCTGGAGACGCACAGGAGACAGAAAACGGGAAATGAACTGCCCCCACGGACGGGGCGGAACCTTAGTGCAAATGTGAGCGTTGGCCCAGGGGAACCTGCCCCTTCTGGCCGGTTAAATGGAGGCACCGGAGTGGACAGGGCCAGCCCGGACATCCCGTTAGGAGCCGCGGGATGAGAGGCTACGCCCCCAACCGACCTGGTCTTCCAGGAGCCGGAAGCGGGGGGGTCTGGTCTGAGCTGCGCCCTCACTGGCCAGGCACTGCCCTCCCGGGCGAGCCCCCTTTCCTGTGACCCTAATGGCCCTCACCCCCTGGCATTCGGGCCACCCTCTAGCATCATCAATTGGTCCCCAGGAGGCGGGCACAGTCCTGAGACAGGGGCTCCCTTGCCCGTGGGGCCTCCGACCTAACTAGCAGCCAGGCCCCGCCCTTAGCGGAGGCCCCATCCCCTTGGAATGTAGGCCCCGCCCATCGCAGGCTCCAAGTTCTGAGGTTCAGGGCTCTCGCCCAGGGCGGCCTGGAGGCCCCGTGAGCAGCGTACCGAGGCCCGGATGCACCTGAGCCTGCAGGGGCCCGTACTCCACCTGCTCCCCGTCCACCGTGAGCACCCCGCGAGGAGTGAGCGGCTCGAGGCGAAAGGCACGGGCTGCGGCGTAGCCCAGCTGCGGGCAGCCCAGGCTGAAGTGGCTGCCTCGCTCCATGGCCAGGAAAAGGCGCAGCAGCGCGGCCCGCGAGATGCCGCCGCGCACCCAGCACAGGTGCACCAGGCCGTCATCGAAGCGCGCGTGGGGAACCGCCACGAGGTCGGCCCCCAGGTGGCTGGGGGAGATGGCCAACATGAGCACAAAGTCCCCCTCCAGCGTCACCCAGCCTGGGGGGAGTGGGGTACCCAGAGGGGGAAGCAGGTGGTCTGGTGGGCCCCCAGTAGAGAGGACTACCGGGTCACCATCAGGGGTGGGAGGCAGTAGCCCAGGGGATGATGGCACTTCTGGTCCGCCCTCGGTGATGGGTGAGAGTAGGGCTGATCTGGGGGAGCCAGGGGGCGAGGGCAGCAGTGGGTCTGGGGACAGTGGAGGGTCCCCAGCCCCGCCCCAGTCCCTGGCCAGCTCCGGGCCTCCACCGTTGAGTGACAGGACGGGTATGGGTTCGGGCGAGTCGGGGGAGGTCAGGACAGGCTGAGGCAGGGACAGGGGCAGGTCAGATACAGAGCGATGAAGGGGTGAGTGGGCCACGGTTCGAGCTGGGACGGGGGCCAGGGTCAGCTCTGATTTGGCACGGGGCAGGCCCTGGGCAGGGGCGGGTGAGGCAGGCTCCACAGTGGCAGGCAGGTAGGAGATGCGTCCACGGTAGGTGTGCAGTGTGGCAAGGCCCAGCACGGTGCCTAGTGTGAAGCGGGCACTGCCCAGGGCCCTGAAGCGCTCGCTCTGGATGTCCACGTCTGACACGAAGCCCCAGGCCACAGACAGGAAGGAGAAGCAGCGGGAGCCCGAGGCCAGGGTCACAGAGAGGAGGTCCAGCGGGCGGCAGCCACCCCGGCAGAGCAGCAGCGAGCAATTGAGCAGCAGGTCAATGCCCAGGGCCTGCTCAAACCTTCAGAGCCAGAGATGAGTGACAGTGAGAAAGAGCGAACAGGGCTGGGGGAGGGACAGAGTGCAGAGTGGGGAGGAGACAGGCAGGCAACCAGGGGACCAGGCCGGCCATGTCCCCAGGCCCACCCACAGCCGTCTGGCCACCTCCAGATGGACCCTCTCCATCCATCCCACGGGCATTCACTAAGTGCCACCTGTGTGCCAGGCACAGTTCTAGGCTCTATCTAGGGATTCTGGGAACAAGAGCCACAAAAATACCAGACTGAGGAACCTGGCAGTGGACTGGCAGCGGGAGGGGAGATGTGCCCGGTCCGTTATCCCTCCTCCAGGGTACCCTCAGGCCCACCTACCCCCCATGCTGGTTCACGGCTCCAGCCAGGGCGTTGCCGGAGCCACAGGGGAGGATGCCCACAGGCGTCTTCATAGCCTCTTCCCAGTCAGGGCGATCCAGGAGTCCATTCAGCACCTGGAGGGCCGGAAACCAGACCCCTGGGTATTGCTCCTGGCCTCCACAGTCCCCCCCAGGGCTCGGGGCCCAGGCCCCCCGTCCCACCTCATACAGCAGCCCATCTCCCGAGACTGTGACGATGCCGTCCCACTCGCTCAGGCTCAGTCCCTGGACCAGCTCCCGAGCGTGGTTCTGTCGTTCTAATGTGGGAAACCAGGTGGTGAGGCAGGCTCTTCCCCCCACCGGGATGCAGGAGTTCAGCACCAAGCCCGCACCTTCCATCCTGACACCGCCCTTACCTGTCTGGATGAGGTTGAAGGACAGCCCCGCTTCGGAGATCATGGGCAGCACGTGGTTCTTACACAACTGCCAGGCCAGGCCCCTCCCACCGAAGGGATTGACCAATAGAAGTAACCGGGGTGGCCTTGGCAGAAGGTGGGAGGTGATTTCTGCAGAGAGAGGGGAAGGAGTCCACGGAGGCCCCTGACCTCGGAAACAGCAACTGCTAACAGCCCCCAACAGAACTGGTGGAGGCTGGCACCAGAGCCTCGTTTTTTTTTTTTTGCCTCCCAGGCTTCACGTGCCCAGGCCACCCCCTTCTGCGACAAGACGGGGCTTGGGTGTCTAATCCCAGTGCCCTTTGGACCCCACGTGTGGAGGAAGGAGAGCTCCGTTCGTGCCTCACCAACACCCAGATCCCAGGTCAGGTTGCTTCACTCTGCGAGGCTCCATTACTGTCACCATCCCTTAGGACCACCCCCAGGCAGCCGGCAGGAGCCCGGAGGACCAAGTCCCACCAGATGGGGATGCTTGAATCTTGACCGTCCTGTGCCAACTGAGGCGCCCCCCGGGGGGGGAGGGGTCCTCTGCCTGAAAGCCTTCTCTGGGCCCCCCTGGGCTAATGTTCCAGATGCCACCTCTGGGCGCCCGGGTGGTGACTGACCACGTCTTGGTCTGCTGCTCTCACCGCCTGGGAGCCTCTGACTCACCCGCGGTCAGGACTCAGGGAAGGGGAAGTAAAAGACAAAAACTAGGGAGGGAGCAGCAGGCACGAGTAAGTCCCCTCGTCCTGAGCTTTTGTTCCTCCTGTCGCTATGCCTGTCTGGCAGCACTTCCATTACCAACTCAGACATTACACAGCACACAGAGAAGTAGACAGAGATGCCCGCGGAGACTCCGAGCCTGCCCGGGACCTCACCCCCGTTCCCAGGCAGCTGCAGCCCACGGAGCAGACACGTGAGGACCGTGGCCCAGCGCTGCACCTCGGCCCGGTTCTCCTCGTAGGTGGCCGCCCCATCGGCCCCGAAGGTGCGCGTGGCTCTGCGCCGGCCCCCGCGCCGGCCCCGGGGGTAAGTGTAGATGCAGAGGTAGGCCGCCGAGTCCGAGGGGCTGCGGCTGCGCAGGGTGCAGCAGCCCGAGACCTCGGCCAGCAGGACCAGGCCGCCCCGGGGCCTGGCTTCGGGCTTCGGGCGCAGCCGCTGGATGTGCAGAGCCTGCGGAGTGAGGGTGAGGGCAAAGCGCGGGCCTCGGGCTGGGTAGGAGCCAAACTCGCCGTGCAGGAGTGGAGTGCTGGTGGCCAGGGGTGACAGCGGCGGGGGGGCCATGGCTCTGGGCCCGTCCTGGGCAGTCCTAAGCCTGTGGCCCCAGCTCCAGCTCAGCTCCTGGTCTGGCCTCTGCGGGGAAGAAGGGCGAGAGTCAGAACCCAGGACCCCCGTGTCAGGCTGAGAGAAGTGGGCAGGGCCTGTGGACAGGGAGAGACAATGAGGGACAGTCACAGGTGCACCAGGGACGGTCAGGCCCAGACAAGTGTGGGGAGACCCCGAGGAAGCAGGGGAGGGATCAGTTGGACAGGAAAGCCAGCATTCTGGAGCGTCCGCACCCAGGCATGCAAACATTCATTCATTCATCCCCTAAATGGTTATTCAGTACCCTCCTGGGCCAATCACAATGCCGGGCCTAGCAAACACAGCAGGGAGCAAAATGGACAAAACCCCCCTGCCTTCATAGTTTACATTTTAATCATAAGACAGAAAAACAAGATATAGGAATATAGTGTGTTGGGTGGTGAGGGCTTTGGGGGAAAATGAGGCATAAAGGGGACATGCAAAGACAGAGAAAAACCACACACATCAGTCATCTCTCGGTGGAGGAAGTAACAAGGGAGAGACATCTGGACACAGAGAAAAAGAGGGATGAGATCTGAGAGCCAGGGAAACACTGGGATGATGGGAGATACTAAGGAGAGTACAGGTGTAGGGTCAACAAGACAAGGGAGAAAAAGAGAAGACAGAGGCAAGAGGTGGAAGATGGACACCGGTAGAGACTGAGAAAGGGATGTGACATGGAGGGACCAAGGAGTCAGAGAGCTAGAGGAGCCACATGCAGGCAACTGCAAGGGACAGGGTTTCCGAGCTGGACCCCGAGCACTGACCTGGGCATCTGGCTGCCTGCTCTGCAGGGAGGGAATGGGAGCCGGGCGTGAGGTCCCCTCCCCAGAGGCTCTCTCCCCCTGCCCTCTGCCTTGCTTCTGCAGCCTCCTCTTCCTCCTTACTCACCTTTGTTCCCCTGTGCTCCGCCCACCCAGCCACCTGCCAGACCTGCCCCTCAGCTGCCCCAGACACACCCCCATCTGTGGCCTCACCCTAAGGAGTCACCTCTGCCCCCAGTTCTGGCAGCTCCCTCAAGCTCCCCCACCCCATCGCAATTCAGGTTTAGGCAGAGCCCTAGCTCTCCCCCAGTCCTGGGTCCGAGTCCTCCAGGTCTCTAGTCCGCAAGTCTCTGGCCTGGTTTCCATTCTCTCCTCCCCTCCAGGTACCCCACACCCGGGCTTGGGCCTCCCAATCCATAAGCCTGAGTCTTTGTCTCCGGTTCCCCCCTGTCCGGGGCCTCTACTCTCTCACCCCCCACGCTCCTTCCCCGATTTCCACCACCCAGCCCCAGACCTGCGTTTCCATGCCTGGATCCTTCAGCCCCGGTTCTGGTTCTCCATCTCCATCCCACAGCCCTGGTACCCCAGTCCCGGGCCTGCGTCTCTCCGTTCCTCTTGGCCCCGCGGTCCCCCAGTCTCGGGTCCCTGCCCGGACCCCCGCACCCTCCTCACAAGCCTGGTCTTTCTCCAAGCTGCCCCTCAAGTCAGCACCAACCGCCCCCATCTGACCCAGGGGTGTGTGTGTGGGGGGGGGAGGGAGTGTGGCTCCGCTCAGCCAATGGCCGCGCGGCTGGCCTGAGACGCACCAATGAGGGGCCGTGGGGGGTGGGCCCAGCGACCCGCGAGCTCGGCGCAGGGGCTGCCACGGGAGAGGCGGAGCGCTCGCGAGATCCGCTGCCATTGTGGTTGAGGGCACGACTCTCCAGCCAGGGACCGGGTCGCCATGTTTGTTGAGGGTACATGGGCCAGTCCATTCATTGGGTTTATAAAGGAGAAGGGGCATGGAGGGAGGTTTTCCAGGCAGAGAGAGACAGACCCTAATACAGGTAACCAAGACCCAGAGGTATGCAAAGGGCGTTAGTAAGTGACCCAGAGAAGTAGTCAGGCAAAAAAAAAGAAAGAAAAAAAAAAAAAAAGAAAGAAAAAAGAATGTTGTCTCTTAAGTTACAGAGAGTCAGCCCTAGCCGGTTTGGCCCAGTGGGTGGAGCACCGGCCTGCCAACTGAAGGATTCCGGGTTTGCTTCTGACCAGGGCACATGCCCTGGTTTCGGGCTGGGGGGGAGGGGGCTGCAGGAAGCAGCCAATCAATGAGTCTCTCTCTTCCTCTCTGAAATCAATAAACATATATATTTTTAAAAAGATAAAGAGAGTCAGACAGACGCAGAGAGATAAACAAGAGACAAAGACAGAAGAATTAAGAATGTGCAAGGTAAGGACTCAAGAAAACCCAATGAGAGAGTGAGAGAGAGAGAGAGAGAGAGAGAGAGAGAAAGAGAAGGACTGACACTTCTGGAATGAAAACCAGGGAGGAGAGGGTCATTGATTCACAAATTATTAATAAGCCATAGGGACGTATTGTGTAGCATGGGGGCTGTGGTCAATACATATTGTATTAACCCTGTAGGGTGACAGTGGTAACTGGACTTGTGATCAGTTTGTAATATGTAGCCCTGAAATGAATGTAATACTATATATGTCAACTTTTTAAAGTGTCACACACTATTTACCTTTGGCCCAAACCAGAGTGGTGCGTGACATAAGCTTCCGCCTAGTGAGTGACCCAGTTACATGACAAGAGAAGAGACACAGAAGAAAGATGAGAGATACAACATCTGTGAGACCACGAGGTCAGGGGTGAACAGGAGAGAGAATATTTTAGAAGTCCAATGCGCTATCCATTGCGCAACAGAGCCGAGAAAGAATATTTTAAAAAAATATTTTCTTATTGATTTCAGAGAGGAAGGGAGAGAGAGAGAAACAATAATGATGAGAGAAAATCATTGATCAGCTGCCTCCTTTAGGCACCCCCACTGGGGATCAAGCCCGAAACCTGGGCATGTGCCCTGCCCTGGAATCAAACCCAGGACCCTTCAGGCTGAAGGCTGACACTCTATCCACTCAGCCAAACAGGCTAAGGCCAGGGGAGAGAATATTGAAGGCTCAGAGACTGAGAGGAACTGAGACCAAGAGACAGAAAGCAAAGATGCTGACAGAAACATAGAGAGGCAGAGATCTGGTGAAGATGAAAGAAATCAAGGCAAGAATAATATCAGGAGATGTAGAAACAGACAGAATGGCCGAAACCGATTTGGCTCAGTGGATAAGAGCATTAGCCTGTGGACTGAAAGGTCCCAGGTTCGATTCCAGTCAAGGGCATGTACCTTGGTTGCAGACACATCCCCAGTGGGGGCTGTGCAGGAGGCAGCTGATCGATGATTCTCTCTTATCGATGTTTCTAACTCTCTATCCCTCTCTCTTCCTCTCTTAAAAAATCAATAAGATATATTTTTTTAAAAAAGAAAGAATGATAGAAGGGCACATGCTAAAAGAGACAGGGGCAGAGCTTGCTTTTTAGAATGAGACGAATGGAGGAAGGGGTTCCTTTATTGCCAACAATGTACCTTGTGTTCAACCCAGGGTAGCCACAGCACCAGGTAATACATGCCTGCCATGAGAGAGGGGAACAGAAACCCAGTAAGATGGAGAGACAGGGAAACTCAGCACCTGAGCTTGGGGCCCAGAGAGAAAGGCAGACACACAGACCCAAGAGGCTGGGACTCACAGACAGAGACCAAGTTACAGAGATGAGGGAACAGGGAGGGACAAGGAGAAAGAGGATACTGACTTCAGACAGACCCTTACCTGCTGCTTCTTAGGTGTCCATTCATCTGCCAGCCCTCTGCTGTGTCATCAGCAAGACCCTGGTCCTGGGTCGGAAGCCATGGGAGGGCGGTATGGTAAGGAGTCAGGCCTCACGGGTCAGCCTGGCCTTTGGCGCTGTGGAGGAGAAGTGAGAAGTAGGAGATGACAGGAGGCCAGGCTGGATGTGTCTGGAGCCCGCGAGGAATGGCCTTTCTGAGAAAGGAGGAGAGAGGTAAACTTTCTCACTGCCCCAACCAGTTCCTTGTGTCATCTACCACGGGCCAATCAATAAACATGGGTGGAGCCTAATGTTTGTTTTTTATCCTCCCCTGAGATTATTTTTTCCACTGAGATTTTACTTTAAAAATTTTTAATATATTTTTAAATTGATTTCAGAGAGGGAGAGAAACATTAACGATGAGAATTATTGATTGGTTGCCTCCTGCACGCCCCCTACTGGGGATCCAGCCCTTGGCTAGAATCAAACCCTGGACCCTTCCGTTTGCAGGCCAAAGCTTTTAGGCACTGAACCGAACCAGCTAGGGCTGCACTGAGTTTTTAGAGAGAGGGAGAGGGAGGAAGGAGGAAGAGAGAAAAGCACTGATGCCAGAGAGACACTTCAATTGGTTGCCACCCACTTGCACCCCAAAGGGGGCCAAGGGATTGAACCTGCAACTAAGGTATATGCCCTTGACTGAGAATCGAAACTGCCACCCTTTGGTTCATGTGCTGATACTCTAACCACTGAGAAACTGGTCAGGGCCTAATTTTTATTGAGCAATTACAATGTGGGAAGCATGGCCCTATGCATTTTTACTACCTTATATAACTCTGGGTAACATCCCAGGTGCCAGGCCTATTGTCACCCCCTTTTTGTAGATAAGGGAAATGAGGCACAGATAAGTTATATGATTTGCCCAAAATCGCAGTTATCGGAATTTTAATATTTCTATGCCTCTGCTCCTCCCCGGACCTCCATTTCCCGGCTCTTTCTAGGTCCTCCCCCTCCCCCCCCGCCCCAAGTCAGTGATTGTCCCTTTTGGGTCTCTCTTCCTTCTCCCCTCTAAATCTCTGTCTCCCTCTAAGTCTCTCCTCCCCTCTCAGACATTTTTTTTATACCCATCCCCTCTCTCTATGCCGCCCCCAAGCCCGAGACCTCGGTGTGCCTCCTCTGCGCTCCAGTACCGTGCACATCCCTCACCACGAACCCGCTGGGCCATCTCACTCTCTCTGGCTGAGAAAAGCAGCCCCCGGGTGGCAGAGGCTGGAGAGGGATCAGGGAAGGGCCCTCTGGGGGCAGCGGGAGAAGCGAAACCTAAAAGGTAAAATAAAATAAAAAATTTAAAAAAATGCAGGCTGCTATAAGACTGGGCTGCAGCTGGGAGATCTCGGATTAGACCTCAAGCAGGACTTTCCTAAGCTGCGGCTGCGCCTGGAAGTATCAACACGAGATAAGGCGGCCTGATAAGGAAATGACCCGAGCATGGAGTCAGAGGTTTCGCAGAGGTCTAGGCTAGCCCCTCCGGCCCCGCCTCCTCCTCATCGCCAACTTTCGGCCCGCCCAGTCCTCCTGGAGTCACAGAGACGGTGCCGGCTTCGGGCCAGAGAGCCACTGCGCGACCGGGCCTCCCAGGTCCGCGCGACATTTGTCTTGCTCCCAGATCCCTTCCTTCCGGAAGAGCATCGAGACCAGGGTCTGGGTAAGGCTAGAGAGGCCTCCGACGTGCTGGCCCTTTTTTTTTTTTCCTCTTTGGTTGTCCTCCCCGCCCTTATTCCGGAAACGCCCATCTAGCCCTCGGTCCGATTTACCATAGAGAAGCCCTCGTCGCCGCGCGAGTGCCGGGTCGCGCTCCTGTGACGTCACGCGGGCGCCGCTAGCTGCAGGCTTTCCCCGCCCACCCGGCGCCGCTCTCTCTTTCCGGACCTGGTGGAGCAGGAGGCGCCATCATGGTGAGTACGCTTGGAGGCGTCTGGTCCTCGGCCATCCGCCTCCATCCAGTGTGGTTTCGGGCTGGGGGCGCGCCATTAGATGGCACGGGCCCTGGGGGTGTCCGAAGGAGGCGATTCCCGTGGTGGCGGGGCTATTTAGCCCCCCCCCGTGAGCAGGGATGCGTCAGTTCTACCAGCCTCCACCCCTCCCGAATTTTTCCATTATAGCTCCCATTGAGTCGATGCCCGAATTGTACGAGGTGGCTAAGGGATACCGGGGCCAAAATGCAGAGACCTGTGTGTCTCCTCTGCGCTCCAGTATCGTGCACATCCCTGGAGCCAGGATTCTAGACACTGGTCTCACAGCCATTCAGTCTCCGGCCTTTTTGCTGCCCCTGCCCGGACCTGTCACTCCCCAGCCTGAAAAGTTGGCTCTGGGGGTTGTCGCGCGTCCCGCACCCGGGCTTTGAGACAGGCAGGCCTCCCTGCGAGTCTAGGGTCCCTGCCCGCCTTGAGATCTCGTTTCCCCAGCCTGTCCCCGACTTGCTCCATCTTGTTCACGGGCTCACAGTAATCCCGCCTCTCTCGGGTTCCAGTTTGGAAAGAGCCCATCGACTCGTGGATAAGTGTTGGGAGCTGTCAAGTCGTTCTTCACGATTCATATAACTGTCTGGAAAGGAAACCACAAAACCAGGCTGGGGGAGTCTTGGGAATTGGTGGGGGGCTTCCTGAGTTTTCTTAACGCTAAAGTGGGAACCTTCTCAGTAAAGGTTCGTTCTGAGCGCCTGCCTATGGTGTGAATGTTTTCGGCCCTTCTCCAAGTGTGGGAGCAGCATTGAGAACTTGAGCGTGTTGTTAAAAATGTTAATTTACAAAGAAACAAAAGTGTTGACTTGAGTTAACGTGGCTACTGTGTTAAAACTTCCCAAGGTGCTGGGTGTCACGCTAAAGGCTTTTCAGGCTTTTCAGGGGAGTCATTTGAAGTCCAGAGAGTTGAAGCGACTTTCCCAGGGGTGGACCTGGGATTTGTTGTCTCCGCAGAGCCAGGGGCTCTGGCTCTCTCTGGGAAATAAGTAGTGATTGAGGGTGTCCCTGGGGTGAGTAACCTGCAGATCACAGCGGGGCCTATGGTCTCCCCTTCACCCTGCAGGGAGTCGACATCCGCCACAACAAAGACCGCAAGGTTCGGCGCAAGGAGCCCAAGAGCCAGGACATCTACCTGAGGCTGTTGGTCAAGGTGAGGTCGGGGCCTGTGACCCTGGGGCAGGGCCACCCCCAAACCTGCAGTGTCCAGGGCTTTCCTTCTCATGCCGCCCAGACTCACATCTCGGAGCTTCTGCAAGTTCAATGTTTCCAGCTTCTGTGCTGTATACAGCTGGGGGGTGGGGCCCTGAGCAGGATGAACCTGGGCTAGCTCTCCCTGGAGCTCACTGAGACGGGAGAAAGCCAGAAGTCATTTGTTTGCCCTTAGGAAGTTGAGAGGGAGGGGAGCCCGGCCTGGGAATTCTCATTTCTCCTTTCCCCTTTCCCTCCAGCTGTACAGGTTTCTGGCCAGAAGAACCAACTCCACTTTCAACCAAGTGGTGCTCAAGAGGTTGTTCATGAGTCGCACCAACCGGCCTCCGCTGTCCCTTTCCCGGATGGTGAGGGGCTGCTGGGAGGGGGGACACGGCCTGGGGAGCAACTGGATCGTGTCAGGAGCTGGGCTCTGGGAAGGAGGGTGGCTTGGCCTTGTTTTCCTTCTCCTTATGAGATGGGGTGGCTACAGTGGCTTCATGGGATCCTCATGAGGTGTGTGTGTGGGCGGGGGGGGGGGGGGGGGGTCTGTTGAGAAATGTGCTTGAGCCTGAGGTTAGGCCTATGCTAGCTTGAGAAGATTGAGGGTGGGTTTAGGGCCAGCTGTCCTGGTCTTTGGTTGCCTGAAGCTGCGGGGTTGGATTCAAACCTCAGTCGGGACTTAATGTGTATCTCCTCCCCCAAAGATCCGCAAGATGAAGCTTCCTGGCCGGGAGGGCAAGACCGCCGTGGTTGTAGGGACGATCACTGATGACGTGAGAATCCAGGAGGTGCCCAAACTGAAGGTGCGTGGGGAGGGGCTCTGAGTGGGGGTGAAGTCCTGCGTCCCTGGGCAAGCCCCTCTGGAGCCAGACAGCCTGGGTCCCGGTGTAGATTTCTCTGTCACTTTGTCACCTCTGAACAAAGTCCTAAGCAGCCTTTCCTTTGTTCAATGTTTTTTACTGATTTCAGAGAGGAAGGGAGCGGAGTGAGAGAGATATAAATGATGAGAGAGAATCATGGATCGGCTGCCTCCTGCGTTCCCCATGCTGGGGATCGAGCCTGCAACCCAGCCATGTGCCCTTGACTGGAATCAAACCTGGGACCCTTGAGTCCGAGGGCCAGTGCTCTATCCACTGAGGCCCTAAATCTTTTTATGCCTCAGGTTCCTTAAGGTGTAATGGCTTTGCGTTGTGGCATTCTCAAAGGAGTTGCTGGAGCAAAGTGATACGAACAGCTTTTGTTGTGCACTCAGGTTGCTCCCTCCAATAGGAGTTAGTTACAGGGCTGAGCAAACAGCAGGCCTTCTCTGTGTGGCCAGGGCAGCGACCTGTAAGTCTCAGCAGCCCCTGGGTGGCCATGCAGTTCTGGGTGGACCTGTCCCCCGTGTCCCCAGGTGTGTGCCCTTCGCGTGAGCAGCCGTGCCCGGAGCCGCATCCTCAAGGCTGGGGGCAAGATTCTCACCTTCGACCAGCTGGCCCTGGACTCCCCCAAGGGCTGTGGCACTGTCCTGCTTTCTGGTGAGCTTTCTGAGTCTCCATGGCAGAGCCTCGTCCCTGTGTGAGGGGGGTGAGCAGTGTGACTGCTGTCAGACTGGGACTCTTCCCCCCCCCCCATCAGCCTGAGCCCCGGAGCCCTGGGTGCTGGGTTTCTGCCTGACCTGCCCCTTCCTTCCCTCCCCCAGGTCCTCGCAAGGGCCGAGAGGTGTACAGGCATTTCGGCAAGGCCCCAGGAACCCCCCACAGCCACACCAAGTGAGTATGCCAGCCTGTGCCTCCGACCTGACTCCCGCAGTGCAGTCCAGGTCCATGCTTGTTTCCCACACCCCAGCCTCAGGCCTCCCTACAGCTCCCCCTCGCCTTCAAGGCCCAAAGCTGTGCTCCCTGGGGGTGCACTCTCTGTGCATCTGGTTTAGGCTGAGTTGGCATCTCCCAGGGGAGTCTGCGTTGTACCCCACCCACCCCCAGGGAATGGTGCTGGCTTTGGCTTCCTGCACTGCCAGGCTTTGCCAGCAGCCCGGTAGCTATCACTACTGAGCCCTCCCCCCCACCCCCCATCACCTCCCCGGTGTCCTGTGCTGCTCTGTTGGAGGCAGCATCTCTGGCAGAGTTCCCAGCTACATTCGGCCCTGACCTCCTCTCTCTTCCCCACAGACCCTACGTGCGATCCAAGGGCCGGAAGTTCGAGCGGGCAAGAGGCCGCCGGGCCAGCCGCGGCTACAAAAACTAACCCTGAATCCTGTCATGTTATTAAAGAGGTTTTGGACGCTGATGGCCCCGTGTGTGTTATTGGGGGATGGAGTTGGGACGGGAGCCTGTGGGCCAGAAGGCATTTGTTTTGGGGAATTGGACACCAGCGCAGGGCTCCATGGAGACTCGCCCCGCCCCCGTCCAGGTGTTCCTCCACCAGCCTTCCTTCCGCCTCGGCCTGCGGGCGCCCTCTGGCGGCCTAGGTCTGTGCTCAGCTCTGCTGGGCCTCCACCTGTCGGACCCTTGCAGCCCACTATTGCCGAAGCCCCGCCTTCTTCCCAAGAGCTGGTGTCTGGTGTTGAGCACCTGCTTCCCGGGATTAGCCACACCCCTCTTAAAGGACCCGTGCTCCCCGCCCCAGCACTAAAGATATGGGCAGGCCGGGATAGGGAAGTGTGGAGGTGGGGCTGCTGTGGGGGCAGGTAAGGCACCCCCTTTCCTGAAACCTGAGTGGCGGGCCACTCGCCTCCGGGAAGCAGCCTGGCGAGTGCTCCTGGGTTGGGACTTTATTCCCTGGGCCCCTCACCCCGGGCCTCCCCTGGGACCTGCGTGGGCCCTCCCCGTGTTTACACAAGGGGCTGGGTTCCCAGGATGCCAGGGTGAAGCCTGATGAATGAGCCAGTCTGCCGGAAAGCTCAGGTTGGAGGACCCGGACTATACTGTCCTCCCACAAAGGCAAGTGGAGGGGCAGGAGGTGGCGAGCTAGCGGGGGCCAGAGGGGGTGGGGACCTAGTTTTATTCCTCTTCTTTCTCTTGCAGGGCCAGTCGCTGTGCCCTGGAGGAAGGGGGCATCTGGGTGCTGGGATTGGAAGGCGGGGTTGCCCAAATTGGGGTCCACAGGTTGGGTCAGGAGCCTCAAATGATGTAGACTGGTCCTTGTCCAACTTTCACGAGGCCTGAGTGCGGTCAGCTGGCAGGAGACTGTGGAATTCAGGCCCCAAAGCCAGGGGTCAGCAGAGATCAGAGGACAGGCAGGGGCCCCCAGTCCCAGGAGCCGAGGCACCGGCTAGGCTGCCCTCAGGCTGGTCGGGTTGAGGAGGTCATGGGCGGGCTCCATGGTAATGAGACCCCCTGTGGAGCGACTCCACTGCAGCAGCCTGAGCAGAAGTGAAGGCCCGTCCACTGAGGAGACCTAGTTCCCTGGCTGGGAAGGGCGATGCCCAGGCTGAGGGCTGGAGTACATTTCTCCCGGGCTCAGAAGGAAACAGAGTGGTCAGCTGTGAGAGCTGTGAGCTAGCCGGCCAGCTGCCAGGAGAAGCATCCCCTGGACACAGCTGGGAGTCCCACCGGGTGGTCAGACGCTGAGCCGGTTGAAGAGAGGCCAGCGGGTCAGGTAGACGTTTGGGTGGTTGCAGCCAGGCAGGCAGGCAGCCTGTTGCCTGGAGATGGCCAGGCCTTAGTGGCCTTGGGCCAGGGCAGGTGGGTGGTCAGCCTGACCTCGCGGAGCCAGCGGGAGGGCCGGCCGGGGCATTGCCGTGCGGCCAGCAGGCTGGAGGTTGCCGTGCGCCGGAGCAGAGACGGGCAGCTGACAGGTCCCCGGGTTTGGAGGCGGTGCCAGGTACTCGGCCAAACCCACATGCAGGACCACCTGTGGGGGCGGCCAGATCATCAGACAGCGGACAGCGAGGTCGGATGGCCGGCCGGCCATGGCGGCCACAGGCCGGTGGGCAGTGGGTCTGAGCAGCATCGGGCGGGCGGTCAAGGACACAGTCTGACCGTCAGGACAGCACAGGGGCCACCGGATTCCTCAGCGGCCCCGGACGCCCGAAAGGAGAGGAGAGAGACCCTGATGGTCAGGGCCTCGGAGGCGGCCACACCCTCAGACGCCTGGCCTCGAGGCCCGCCCCGGGGGCCCCATGGCCGCGTCCCAGCTGGCAGCGCTGGAAGGAGTGGCGTCGGTGGCCGGGGAGCCGCCCCTGACGGAGACCCGCCCGGGCTTCCTGTACTCGGAGGGCCAGCGGCTGGCGCTGGAGGCTCTGCTGAGCCAGGGCGCCGAGGCCTTCCAGGCGTGTGTGCAGCGCGAGGGGCTGCGGCCCTTCCTGGGCGGCGCCGAGCTGCAGGGCCTGGCCGCGGCCGCTGAGGACTGGACGGCGGCCCATCCGGAGCCCGGCGGCGGCGGCGGCGGCGACGGCAAGGAGGGGGCCGTGGCCGGCGGGGACCCCGGCAGCCTGACCTACTGGCCCGGCCAGTCGGAGGAGCCGGTGCCCGTGCTGCGGCTGGGCTGGCCCGAGGACTCGGGCTGGAAAGGCATTACCCGGGCGCAGCTCTACACCCAGCCCCCCGGCGAGGGCCAGCCGCCCCTCAAGGAGCTGGTGCGCCAGGAGATCCAGGCAGCCTGCAAGGTGGGGGACAGGGCCTGGGGGGGAGGGGAGAGGTAGTCCATTCCCCAGACCCCGACATCCTCACTGCAGCTCCCCAAAAGGGAGGGACATCTCCGGGGACTGTCAGGTTCACACCCCAGACTCATCCTCCGCCTCTGAGATCCGAGGGGCCCCATCCTCAGCCAAGATCTGGGTGCCCTTGGGGCATCCATGCCCCTTGGACTCAGTTATGATCCCTCTCGGCTCAGTCATCGACCCACCCCTTCCCCGCCCCCAGGGAGGGCCTGCTTGTCTCCCTGCAGCCCCCTGGCCGCGCCTGATTTTATTTAAAGGGTTTGGTGTTTGCCAGCTCCCACGCCAGGTACCTTACCTGGGTTAACGTGTGATTCTCACAAGGGCCCCTGAGGTTGGGGCTCACTGCATCCATTTAGGAGTTGAGGAAACTAAGGCATGGGATGTTAAGTCTCTCGCCTGGAGTGGCCAAGCAGAGACCTGAACCAGGAATCGGGGCTCAGGGCTCATCACCACACCTTCTGCCTGTGAGACCCAGGTCCCTGGCAGCGCCCCCAGCCCCAGAGCCTGCCTCCCCCCCCCCCCACTGACCCAGCAGGTCAGCCCTCCCTCTGCCCCCAGGACCAGGGTGTGCAGGTTCCCACAATGCACTGCACTGCCCAGGCATCCCGGCTTTGGGACCTCGCTCACCATTGTTGGCATGACCAGCCCTCCAGCACCTCACCGCCAGGGCCCCACCTTCTGAGGGTCCCCCGAACCCCAGGCTCTATCCACAGCCCCTCTCCCCCCGCCCCCCAGCTGGTGGCCGTCGTCATGGACATATTCACTGACCCGGACCTGCTCTTGGACATGGTGGACGCTGCCACGCGCCGCTGGGTGCCCGTCTACCTGCTCCTGGACCGCCAGCAGCTGCCTGCCTTCCTGACGCTGGCCCAGCAGCTGGGCGTGAACGCCTGGGCCACGGAGGTAGGGCCTGGCGGAAGCGACCTGGGTCCCCATTCCCCTGGTGCGGGGGGCAGCAGAGGGGCAGCAGAGGCATACCTGTCCCCGGGGTCCTGGGCCGGCGAGGGGCTGCCAGCAGAGAGGGTTCCCTGGGCTCTGGTGCCCATGGCATTGGGGAAAGCAGCTGGGCCTTCCCACAGGGTCCTTGCTCCCTCTGAGTTGGGGGAACCCTGAATCCCACGATCGTTGGCTCTGGGGAAGCTGGGCAGACTCTCCACAAAGTGACGGGGGTGCGGGCCAGTCCGGAGGAGCCCCCACGTGGGAGGCCGGGAGGTCAGCCTTAGCAAGGCCGTGTCCCCGCCTCCCAGAACCTGGACGTCCGCGTGGTGCGGGGCTGCAGCTTCCAGAGCCGCTGGCGGCGGCAGGTGACGGGCGGGCTGCGGGAGAAGTTCCTGCTGCTGGACGGCGAACGGGTCCTCTCGGGCTCCTACAGGTACGGCCGCACCCCGCCCCTGTGCCCCGCGCCCCGGCCCCAGGCTCCAAGCACTCGGGTCCCCTCCCCGCCACTCACGCCTCGTCTGTGAAACCGGTCCGAGCGCCTACCAGGAGGGGGGTGTCACTGGGACCGGGCTGGGGGTGGGAGCCAGGCCTGGGGGCGTCTCCACCCCCCTGACCGGCTTCCTCTCTGGAGAACGGGGCCTGCAGTGTGCGCCTAGGACGGTGGTCGGCAAACGCATCAGTCCACAGAGCCAAATAGCAACAGGACGACGATTAACATGTCTTTGGAGAGCCCAGTGTTTCAAACGTAAACTTCTTCTTTTTTTTTTTTTATATTTTTATTGATTTTGTACAGAGAGGAAGGGAGAGAGATAGAGAGTTAGAAATATCGATGAGAGAGAGTCATCGATCAGCTGCCTGTTGCACACCCTCTACTGGGGATATGCCCGCAACCGAGGTACATGCCCTTGACCGGAATCGAACCCGGGACCCTTCAGTCCCCAAGCCGACGCTCTATCCATTGAGCCAAACCGGTCTCGGCAAACGTAAACTTCTTCTAACGCCACTTCTTCAACAAAGACTGGCCCAGGCCGTGGTGTTTTGTGGAAGAGCCACACTCAAGGGGCCAAAGAGCCGCATGTGGCTCGAGAGCCGCAGTTTGCCGACCACGGCCTTAGGGCTTTGTAAACTGGGGGACCGGGCCTGGATGATGGTCTTAGGTGGCCTGGGTGAGTACCGCCACCTCTCAGAGTGTCTGGGAAGGAGCGAGACCTGGTGTGCCAATGGCTTGGTCCTCAGACCGTCGGACGGCCCCCCCCCCCTGCTATCTTTGGGGTCCAACCAGCCCCTGGGCCCTGGCTCTGCACTTCTTAGCTCTGTGACCCTGGGCCTCCCCCCCTCAGAGCCTGTTTCCTCTCTGGAAGGCGTGGATAATGAGCACCACCTTGTTGGGTCACAGCATGGTGAGGAGGGTGGGGGGAGCGGCGGGATCTGGGCACAAATGGCCTCCGTTTAAGTCCTAGCCCTGCCAGTTACTGGCTGTGTGACTTTGGGCAACTGGCGTCGCCTCTCTGTGCCCCCTGCTCACCAGGATGGCCTGCTTAGTGACTTCAGGGCGGGGGTGGGGAACCCCCTAGAAGGCCCTCAAACCATTTGGTTTTATTTAACTCTCCCCTAATGCCTTGACCAAATATAGTAGGCTAATTTTTTTTTTTTTTTTTAATTTTAGAGAGGAAGGGAGAGGGAGGGAGAGAGAGAGAGAGAGAGAGAAAGAGAGAGAGAGAGAAACATCAATGATTAGAATCATTGATCGGCTGCCTCCTGCACGCCCCCCACTGGGGATCGAGCCCACAACCCAGGCGTGTGGCCAGCCTAGGAACGAACCCTGACCTCCCGGTTCATAGGCCAATACTCAACCACAGAGCCATGGCGGCCAGGCTAGCAGGCTGATTTAAAAAATATATATGGTTTTACTGATTTTAGAGAGAGAGGAAGGGAGAGGGAGAGAGAGATGGAAACAGCAGTGATGAGAGAGAATCATTGATCTTGATCGGCTGCTTCCTGCACACCAAGCATCAATCACTGCTTGAGCCCACAACTCAGACGTGTGCCCCGACCGGGAATCGAACCTTTGTGACCTCCTGCCCGACGCTGAACCGTTGAGGCACACGTGATGAGACAGCCTGATTTTTAAGTTGAGAATCTTGTATGGCCCTGGACAGAAAAAACGGTCTCCCACCCCTGCTTTAGAGTGAGGTTTCACCACGAAGGTACCGCTCACGTCTGGGGCCGCTGGCCGTGTCCCCGGGCCCTCCTGGCATTGCCGGCTGCAGCTCCCGCCTCCGCCCAGCAGATGTCGGTAGCATCCCCTTTGCCAAAGACCCTGGTGTGTAGCCTTGATCATGCCTCAAGCCTGACGCAGAGGACCTGCTTGCTACCACCCAGGTTTCTGGGCCCCACTCCCGTCCAGCCGGCCCGGGCGGGGGCCCGAGGATTGGCACTGCCGGCAAGTTCCGGTCGGTCCGGGGACCACACCCAGAGAACCACCGGGGCCAGGGCTGGGATGCCTCAGAGGGAACCTGCCTTCCCAGCTCCACGTGAGACTCGGTGGGAGAAGGGACCCCAGCACCGAGCGTCACAAGGGCTTCGTACACATCGCGGTTGTTTATTAATTAATCTGCGGTGGTTTATTAATACAATTTTGACCGGATTTCATGGACGCGAAGGGACCACACTGAGAGGAAGCATCCTGCTCAAACTGTGACACGCTATCGCGTCTTAGAACCCACGGAGCGCAATGTGGCAGCCAGGCGCGGGGGCGCGGTCCCACTGGTGGCCAGGCTCTGGCGTGGCGGGGCCCTGGGTCCCGGGGTGGGGGGGCAGTCTAGATCTAGATCGGATGAAGCCAGGGCCACGGGCCTTTTGTCCAGGGCCCCTGGCCTCGGATCGGGGGACGGGGGGAGGAGGGGAGGGCACAGGAGCAGCAGAGCCTGAGACCAGCCCCGGGCCCTGCCCTCCGCGCCCCTCACGGTCCCTGGAGCAGCCACAGCGCGCCCAGCGCCAGGCCGGCGGCGCCCGCCCGCAGGCCGCCCGCGGGGGTGGGGGGGGCCCCGTTGCACATGTCGCCGTCGCAGCACCTGGAGGTGAGGCTGTAGGTGACGCCCTGGTAGGTGACGGGCTCCTGGCGGCCGCACTCGCTGGCGTCCACGCAGCCCTTGCTGGTGACGGGGCCGAGGTCCTGGGCGGCGCCCTGGCCCACAAAGCACTCCTCATTGTCCCCGCAGGCCATGGGGATGCCGGGGCAGTCGGCCATGTCGGTGAGCTCACAGTACATGCAGTCCTTGGCGCCGCCCGCGCCGGGGGGCAGGGCCAGCAGCAGGAGCAGGAGGCCGCCGAGGGCGCTGCTCGGGGGCCTCCGCATGCCCACGGGACGTGCGCCCCCGGTCCCGGCCTCCCAGGACCGGCAGCTGGCGTGTCCTTGGGTCCCAACCCTCCGTGTCCCTCTCAGGAGAGTGGCTGTGACCACGGTCTCGAGCCCTGGGGTCTCGGAAGCTTTCCCAGGACAGAGACCAGCCGGTGGCTGCTGCCTGGCGAGTCTTTGTGGAACGGAATGGGGTGACCTCACAGACCCCTTAGGGTTCCGCTGGCCCCTCTGGGGGCGAGGCCCTGGGTGGGGGAGGGTGTCACAATCGGAGGGGCAGGCAGGCCCGCAGACCAGCCAGGGAGTGAGGTCACGGCCACCCCCCAAGGTGAGAACGCTCGGCCCGGCCTTTGCCGGCCCAGCCACTTGGCCGTCGTCAGCTCTGCTGGGTGCTGGGTGCTGCGCCCGCCGAGTGCCCGTGCCAGCCTTTTTTCAGATGGGCAAACCAAGGCTCAGGAGGAGGACGTGACGGGTCCCAGGCCCTAGAGCCAGGATTAGAGCCCAGATTTATTTAGTCCCAAAGAGGGCACTTATTGGGCACCTGCTGTGTGCAAGACCAGGGTTTAAAAGATTGTTTTTGTTGATTTCAGAGAGGAAGGGAGAAGGAGAGAGAGAATCATTGATTGGCGGCCTCCTGCACATCCTCTCCACTGGGGATCGAGCCCACAACCCAGGCACGTGCCCTTGACAGGAATCGAACCCGGGACCCTTCAGTCCACAGGCCGATGCTCTGCCCACTGAGCCACACCAGCCAGGGCAAGACCAGTGCTTTAGATAGCCACCACTGTGATGGCCAGACAGGAAAGGGCACGGCTCCCCGCAGGTCCCAGGCCTGGGCACGTGCTGGGCACCGAGCAGGGAGCTGGACCCGTGTTCTCTCGCTCAAATCTTCCTGTGTTTCAGTCCGTCTCCCAGCTGAGCCAACGGGCACACGGAGCAGGCACAGCCGGAGCCGGGCACACAGCCAGAGCTTAACAAATGGGGTCATTACAGGGAGCAGCTGAGTCTCACAACAATCCCCGTGGGAGTCAGAAAAGGAACCCCATCTCGTTTCAGAGGGGGAAACCGAGGCAGAGCCCAGTGGGAACCGGCCAGCCCAGGTTTAGAGTCAAGTCCGAGTTCAGATGACAATTTCACTTTCTTTTTTAAAAAATATTTTATTGACTTTTTTACAGGGAGGAAGGGAGAGGAGGAGTTAGAAACATTGATGAGAGAGAAACCAATCAGCTGCCTCTTGCACACCCCCTACTGGGGATGTTCCCATCATCAAGGTATATGCCTTTGACTGGAATCGAACCTGGGACCCTTCAGTCTGCAGGCCGACGCTCTATCCACTGAGCCAAACCGGCTTCAGCTCTCTTTCTTTTTTAAAAAATATATCTTTATTGATTTTAGAGAGGAAGGGAGAGGGAGAGACAGAAACATCAATGATGAGAGAGAATCATTGATCGGCTGTCTCCTGCACGCCCCACACTGGGGATGGAGCCTGCAACCCGGGCCTGTGCCCTGACTGGGAATCGAACCAGGGACCTCTTGGCTCCTGGGTCTACGCTCCCCCGTTGAGCTACACCCGGGGGGCTGATTTAACTTTCTCACAGGGTAGGTGGTCCCATTCTACAGAGGGGCGTGTTGAGGCCGGAGGGCGGCACGATTTCCCTGAAGGTCATGGTCACTCAGCCTGCCCTGCGAGCCGGTCGGGGACGGGGACCGGATCTCGGGCTGCACAGAGGGTCCTGACCCCCCTCTCCGTGCCCGCAGCTTCACGTGGAGCGACGCCCGCCTGCACCGCGGCCTGGTGACCCTGCTGACCGGGGAGATCGCCGACGCCTTCAGCCGCGAGTTCCGGACGCTGTACGCGGCCTCCGGGCCGCTCCCGCCGGCGCCCGCCCCGGGCCCGGGCCCCTTCGTCAGCGCGCTGGGCGGCCTGCAGCTGGCCCGCGGCCCGCACGCCGTGGCCCGCCGCTGCTCCGTGGCCCCCGCGCCCCCGCCGCCGCCGGAGGTGGCCCCGCTGACCCAGCGCCTGGCCGCCTGCCGGGTCCTGGACGCCGGGCGGCGGGAGGCCCCGGGCCCCGGGCCCGCGCTCAGCGACATCCTGCGCGGCGTCCAGCGCGCCCGGCCGGCCAGCGGCCCCGCGGCCCGGCCCAGCCGCTCCCTGTGGGACCTGAGCCGCCTGTCCCAGCTGTCCGGCTCCAGCGACGGCGACGGCGAGGTGAGGCCGGAGGAGGAGGGCCGCGGCGGAGGGAGGGGGCCGCCAGGGCCGCGAGACGGGGAGAAGGTGCTGCTTGTTCAAGGGCCCTTACTCTGTTTCCTGAGGACCTACTGTGTGCCTGGCCCCCGGGGAGACAGGGAAGCCACGCTGCTCACCGGAGTTTCTTTTTCTTTCTTGCTTTCTTTTAAATGTATATATTATTTATTTTCCACAGAGAGGAAGGGAGAGAGGGATAGAGAGCCAGAAACATCGATGAGAGAGAAACATCGACCAGCTGCCTCCTGCACACCCCCTACTGGGGATGTGCCCGCCACCAAGCTACATGCCCTTGACCGGAATCGAACTTGGGACCTTTCAGTCCACAGACCCACGCTCTATCCACTGAGCCAAACTGGTTTTGGCTAACCCGAGTTTCTAATCACACTGTGTTTCCTGAACCCACACTGTGTGCCGGGCAGGGGAGTGCCGGGTGGCCTGGAGCAGAGACCCCAAGAGCCCTGGGTGTGAATCCTGGCTTTTTTTTAAAAAAAAAATATATATATATTTTATTGATTTTTTTACAGAAAGGAAGGGAGAGGGATAGAGAGCCAGAAACATCGATGAGAGAGAAATATCAATCAGCTGCCTACCGGGGATGTGCCCTCAACCAAGGTACATGCCCTTGACCGGAATCGAACTTGGGATCCTTGAGCCCGTAGGCCGACTCTCTATTCACTGAGCCAAACCGGTCACGACTGAATCCTGGCTTGCTATTACCAGCCATGAGAACCAGGTTGCGGGTGTGGAGGGGCAGGGACTTGCCTTCTCTGAACCTCCGTGTTCTCATCTAGAAAATGGGCTGAGCGGTAGCTTCCCCCTCAGTTTGGTTAGGAGAAGGAGTCGGTGGAATGAAGTAGGATAATACCTGCTCTTAACACTGAATTCCCCAAATGGAATTCCTTTCACAACATCCTCATCCCAGGTCGGCCAGGCAGGATGCTTACCGTGCCCATCGCTGCGGATGGCTAAGCTGAGGCCCAGCGAGGTTAGGTCACTTGCCAAGGTTGAAAAGGCGGTCTTTCCCGGGCACCTTCCCACGTGCCAGGCCCCGGGCCAAGCGCTTTCACCGAAGTAGCTACGTTCAACCTTTGTCGCAGTCCTAGGAGGCGGAGGTCGTTACATCTCCCCATCCACCCATTTCACAGATGGGAAAACTGAGGCACGGGGAGGAATGGAACTCAGCCCTGGTTGCCTCCCAGGTGGGGCTCTGACAGGCTCCACGCCCTGGCTTCCCGGATGCCAGTGTCATGAGCTCAGAGGGGACCCTTCTCCCCCTGCTTGGACACTTGGGCCTGCCCCACTTCTCGGGCAGGGCCTCCATGTCCCTGGCTGTGAAGTGGGCTGTTGGGAAGGTTCGGAGCGGAGCCACGTGGGAGAGACAGGCGGACCTGGGGGACGGGATCTCTGTGAGCTGCACCCACTCTGAGCCTCCGTTTCCCCGCCTGCTCAGTGGGAGCCGGAGGCCAGTGCTGTGGGTGAGGGAGAAACAGCCCAGGAATTGCCTCCCTCGGTCCCAGGGGAGGAGGGGGTGGGCAGGGCAGGGCCAAGGTCCTCACCTCCGCCTGGTCCTCACCCAGCATCACCTCCCTTGGCAAATATTTGCTGCCGCCACCTGGGGGCGGCGCTGGCTGCTTCCTGTTCCTCCCCAGCTGCAAATGCGGGGGACACACCTCCTGGCCTCTTGGGAGTTGGGGGTCCCAGGCCTCCCTACTCACTTCCCTCTGGTTCTGGAGCTGAGGGGCCTTCTCCACTCCCCTCCGTGTCTCACCCTCCTTCCCTCACCTCCCTCTTCTGTCTCATCTTCTTCCTCCTTTTATTTTTTAAAATTCCATATATATTTTAAATTGATTTTTTACAGAGTGGAAGAGAGAGGGTCAGAGAGTTAGAAACATCGATGAGAGAGAAACATTGATCAGCTGCCTCCTACACGCCCCCTACTGGGGATGTGCCTGCGACCCAGGTACATGCCCTTGACCGGAAACGAACCCGGGACCCTTCGGTCCGCAGGCTGACGCTCTACCCACTGAGCCACACCGGTTTCGGCTTCTTCCTCCTCTTACTATCTCCCTCACCTCCTCCAGCATTCACCTCCCCCCTGGTCCCAGCCCCCCACCCCCACCCCCTGCTCACGTCCTCCTCTCTCCCTCCACAGCTCAAGAAGTCCTGGGGCTCCAAGGACACCCCAGCCAAGGCCCTGATGAGGCAGCGGGGCACTGGGGGGGCCCCCAGGGGTGAGGTGGACTCCCGCCCCCTGGCCGGCCCCCTGCCCCTCACCCCCGGCCGCCGCCTCCGCTACCTGTCCCCCACCCGGAGGAGGTTTGGAGATGACGCTGCGCTCAAAGCCCTGGAGCCCAGAGGGGGCCGGCCGCCGGGCTGGGCCACCCGGGCGGGACTCAGGGGGCGGCCCTGACGGAGCCGGAGCCGCACTGGACCACAGGGCGCTGGGAGCCCCCCCTCCGGGCTGTGCCTGGGCCTCAGTCTGGGAAGGAGGAGGGGTGTCCCCCCAAATTACCCTGGAACTTGGGCAAGTCCCATGCCCACCCCAGAGCCCAGTGTCACAGCCTAGAGGAGCTGGGATCCCAGAAACTGTCCATCCCGCCCGGGCACTGTGGGGACTTCTCCGCGGGGAGGCCCGGCCGAGGGCCCCATGTGGGGGCAATGGGGGCCCGGGGGCCCACCTGCTCAGAAGGGTGGGCAGCGGAGCTAGGCTCAGGGGAGGAGAGACCTCAATCCAGGGGACTGAGCTGAATGATGAGGGACGCGGAGGATCGGTGGGGACACCCCTGCTGGGGAGCGGCTCAGGGCCCTGGAGAGGGGACTGGGCAGGTGCTGGGACAGTTTTCTGGGTGCTAAGGGGTTAGTTGTTGGGGCTCCCTTTTCCCTCTGCTCAGAATAAACCTGCCTCCTGCCAAACACTTGCATTTTCCGCAGCCTTGTGGGGGACCCTGAAGTCCAGGCCCCCAGCCCCTCCTCCCTCAGACCCAGGAGCCCAGGCCCCCAGCCCCTCCTCCCTCAGACCCAGGAGCCCAGGCCCCCAGCCCCTCCTCCCTCAGACCCAGGGGTCCAGCCCCTACCCCCTCAGACCCAGGGGTCTGAGCCCCCAGCCCCTCCTCCCTCAGACCCAGGGGTCCAGGCCCCCAGCCCCTCCTCCCTCAGACCCAGGAGCCCAGCCCAGCCCCTCCTCTCTCAGACCCAGGGGTCCAACCCCCCAGCCCCTCCTCCCTCAGACCCAGGGGTCCGGGCCCCCAGCCCCTCCTCCCTCAGACCCAGGAGCCCAGGCCGCAGCACCCTGACTCTGGGAAGTCAGGCGCCAGCGCTATGGGGCTTCTGAGTCACCCTCCAGGGTGCGCCTGGTGGGGAAGAGGACCCGCCTTCAGGAGGCCCTGGTGCAGGAGAAGGGTCCCCACCCGGCCTCGCGCGCCCCCTGCCGCCCGCCCGCGGCATGCCACCGCCATCGCACATGGAACCGGGGCAGGAGCGATGCGTTTATTCTCGGGGTCACGGATGCGGGTGCTCGGAGGCCTGATTAGGGCTGGGGCTGGGTTCGGGGCTGGGGGCGGGGTCCGGGCTGGCATCCTCGGGGTCCTCGTCCCAGGGGAAGGTCGGCATCCCCTGCATCTGCTCGCGGTAGACGCGGTCGAAGGCTTCGCTCTGCGCCACCGTGAAGTGGTTCTTCCAGTCTCCGCAGACCCCTGCGGGGAGGAAGAGCGGGCGAGGTGAGCAGCGTCGCCCCGACATCCCAGCGTCCCCTGCCCCACGTCCTCTACGCATGCGGTTCCCTAGGCCGGAAGCCCCGCCCACCCGCCTGGCCCCACCCCTCTCCACGCCGCCCCGCCCCCTCCCGCGGTTGCTGACTCACCCAGGCCGCCTGGACCTGGCAGACCCGGGCACCGTTCTTGCCTCCTCCCTCTTTGGGGTCCCCCCTGCTCTGCTCACCCCGCCAGCAGACCTCTGACCTTCCGCCACTTCACCCCGAACCCCTTAAGTCTCTGCCCAGACCACCCCCAGCCCCACCCCATCCGGCGAGCTGCACACCGTGCCCAGCCCGGGCGCTCCCTCTGCGGCCTGGCACCGAGCAGGCGGCCCGGGCTCTGCCCCCGCCACTGCGGGCCCGGGCTGCTCCCCGCACTCAGCGCCGCGCCTGGGCCCGAGGTTTACCACAGCCTCGGAGCCGCAAGGGATCCAGCCTCAAGTTCCTTCCTTTCTTTTTTTAAATCCTCACCCGAGGGAAGGTTGATTTTTTTTTGATGTTGTTATTGCTAATCCTCATCCAAGGATATTTTTTCCATTGATTATTATTTTTAAAAAATTTATCTAGCCGAAACCGGTTTGGCTCAGTGGGTAGAACATCAGCCTGGTGCGGGCTCCATCCCCAGTAGGGGGCGTGCGGGAGGCAGCCGATCAATGATTCTCTCATCACTGATGTTTGTTATCTCCCTCTCTGAAATCAATAAAAATATATTTGAAAAATAAAAATAAATAAATGATACCGGTAACTATTTAAAAATAATGGAAAGATATCCTCCAGTGAGGATTAACAACAACAAAAACAAATAAATAACTAAATAAATAGCCAACCGTGGTGCGAAGCTGGCTGTGGCCTTTTGTTCCCACATACAGCTTGGGGGGGGAGGAGATGAGGGGGCTCGGGGAAGCCTGGGGTGACAGGCGCCTGCTGTGTCCCCCGAGCTGAGCCTGTGTGTGGAGTCCACGCCGGGCCCCCGGGCCGCAGGTTCTCCGGGGAGGCCCCCGGGTTACCGGGGAAACGGCCCAGAGAGGCGGAGGAACGTGCGGGGTCCGTACCTTTCCGCAGGAAGGCGCCGCGGCGCTGGTCCAGCAGGCTGGGCGGCAGCAGCGAGAAGTTGGACATGGTGTTGGCCTTCATGGCGTCGAAGGCCGAATGCGCCACGACCGAGCCCAACGCCTCCTCGCCCAGCTGCCGGCCCAGGAACCGGCACACGCGCTGCACCGCGCCAGGGAGGTCCTGGGGCGGAGAGGGGTCAGCGTGAGAGGGGTCAGGGGGGAAGGCAGGACGGGGAGTGGGGAGGGGGGACAGGCAAGGAAGGAACACCAGACCCAGAATTTGGATGTCAGAGTCTCAACCCAGACTTGTCTCTGCCTCAGTTTCCCCACCTCCAAGGGGTTGGGCTCTGGCCTCTGAGGGGTTCTGCAGTTTGGAATTTGGGCGGGTGCTGTGGGTGGGAGGGCAGGGGTGAAGTTGGGTCAGAGGTCACCGCACGGGGCAGGGGGCCGTCCAGCACCTTATGCAGAATCCTCCTCCTCCAGGTTAGAAACGGGGCGTCAGCCGGCCTGTGCCCCAAGCCTGCTCCTCCCCCAGGTCCCCAGCCCAGAACAGCCCCAGATTCACCCGGTCACACGGCTGGCCGCACTCCTAGCTGCGCCTCCCCGCTGCTCCCCTTCCCGCCCACACCCCTGGCTAGGGCTCTAACACAACATTTGAATGTTTAAACAGATTCCCATGCCCCTAGCCGGTGTTGTTCAGTGGTTAGAGCATCGGCCCACAGACCGAAGGGTCCCAGGTTCAAATCAGAGAGGAAGGGAGAGGGCTAGAGAGCTGGGAACATCGCACACCCCTGTCCTGTCCGCCATCAGCTCCTTCCCTCTGCCTGGACTCTCTCTGCCATGTCCCTTCTGGTTCCCCGTAGCCCGGGCACTGGTCAGGCCCGATTCTCTCCTGTGGACGCTTGTCCCGGCCTCTCCCTGCCTCCTTGCCTCCTGTCCCCACACCAGGCCGGAGCCTGCTCCCTGGGCCCTGAGACAGTTCCCGTCCCCCGGCCTGACCTCCAAGGTCAGGTGCTCCCCACCCCTCCTCCTGGGACTCACCGTCCCCTGCACTTCCCTCCCTGTGCCCCTCTCCCCCTAGCAGACCTCCCCCCTCCGGTGCAGCACGTCTCTGCTCCCCTCCCCGTGACTAACGGCTCAGGTCACCGTGAATGGAGCGCCCACTGTGTACCACGCCCCGGCCCATGTCTGGCCCGTCCTGCCCAGGGCCTTGCCGGGAGGAGTCAGTGCCCGGGACCGGCCCGCGGAGGCCCAGAGCAGGAGCCCCGTGTCCAGGCCTCACGGCCAGGGCGGTGCTGGGGTCCGGGTCCCCGGAGCCCGCAGTCCTCCCAGGCGCTGCCTTCCTCGGCCTGCACCCGGCGGCCAGCCCCCGCCAGCCCCAGCCCCGGCTTTCCAGGTCATCCTGGTTTCGTAACCGCCCACCCCGTTATCCTCCTGAACCACACACTCGTCCCAGAACGCCTCGCATGCTGGCTGTTCCTGCGTGGCCCAGTTTTGGGTTTGGAGAGTAAAGTTGGATGGATGGGAGGGGGAGGGGCGGTGCCGGAATCTTCTGGAAGGGGGTGGTGGGAGGGGAGTCTTTCCATCAACAGCAATTCACCGGGAGGAGACAGAGCTACAAGGAGGAGCCCTGCGCCCGGACAGGTTCCCGACTCCCTCCTCTAAAACGGGGACAGCCCTCGCCGGTGTGGCACAGTGGGCAGGGCCGCTGAAGGGTCCCGGGTTCGATTCCGGTCAAGGGCATGTACCTGGGTTGCAGGCTCCATCCCTGGTTATAGGGCACGCGCAGGAGGCAACCTAATCGACGTGTCTCTCTCACATCCATGTCTCTCTCTCCCAGTTTCTCCCTCTCCCTCCCATTCTCTCCTTTTTTAATAATATATTCTACTGATTTTTTACAGAGAGGAAGGTAGAGGGACAGAGAGTTAGAGACATCAATGAGAGAAACATCCATCAGTTGCCTCCTGCACACCCCAAACTGGGGATGTGCCCGCACCCAAGGTACATGCCCTTGACCGGAATTGAACCCGGGACCCTTCAGTCCGCAGGCCGACGCTCTATCCACTGAGCCACACCGGTTTCGGCCCCTCACCCCTGTTTGATCTCTCTGTCCCTGGTCCCTCTCCCGCTCCGGCCTCAGGGACCCGGCTCTGTTCACGGCCGTCGCCCGGTGCCTGGTGCGTCCACAGTGGAGGAGGCCTTCGGGAGGGGGTGTGGGGGCGAGAGGAGGGGAGGAGTGGGGGGGCTGGGCCAGGTGCGGGACGTGGGGGGGAAGGGGGGAGGGGGGCGGCGGATCACCTCCTGCAGCTCCTCGTAGGTGATGAACAGGAAGTTCTCTTTGCCCTGCATCCGGATCCAGCCTTTAATGTGGTCGAACCAGGAGCCGAACTGCACTGCGGGCAGAGGGGCGGGGGGTGAGGGCCGGGCAGCGGGGCCTCCGCGGCCGCTCCCGGGCCTGACTGGCCCCACGCGGCCCAGGCCTGGCCCCTCGGAGCTGGATGCCCCCCCCATCCCCTGGTGCCCCATGTCCCTCTATCTCTGTCTCCCTGTCTGCAGGTGTCTCTCTGCAGGTGTCTCTCTGTCTGCAGGTGTCTCTCTGTCTGCAGGTGTCTCTCTGTCCCCCTGTCTGTCTCTGGCCCTCGGACTCTCTGGCTCTCTCCCTGCTGCTCCTGCATCTGCTGGCGCCTTTGGTTCTCTCCCGGTCTCCTATCCCCTCGCTCCCTCTGTCTCTCTCACGCTCCGTCCCCCCCCCCCCCCCTCTCTCTCCCTCTCTCCCCCCTCCTCTGCTCTCCTCCCACTGGGGCCCGGGCCCCGCCCCCCTCCTGGCCTCACCTTCGCCCTTGAGGAAGTTCTGCAGGAACTGGTCGGGCGTGCCGGGGTCCTTCAGCTGCCCCGCGATCTTGGAGTAATGGTACAGCGACACGGCCACGTCCCGGGGGTTCCGGCCCATGTAGATCACCTGGGGGGGGAGCAGGCGCGTCACGGCCGGCCCCTGCCCCCGGCCCCCGGTCCCCGGGCCCCGGCCCCCGACCCCCAGACCCTGGCCCCCGGCCCCCGGCCCCCAGCCCCCGGCCCGGCCCCCGGCCCCCGCCCCCGGCCCCCAGACCCTGGCCCCCGGCCCCCGGCCCCCAGCCCCAGCCCAGCCCCCGGCCCGGCCCCCGCCCCCGGCCCGGCCCCCGGCCCGGCCCTCGCCCCCGGCCCCCGGCCCCCGGCTCCGGCCCGGCCCCCGGCCCCCAGCACCTGGACCCCAGGCCCCCGGCCCCCCGGCCCCCGGCCCCGAGGCCGTGCTGAGCCCGCCCCTGGCCCCGCAGCAGGAGGGACTCAGGGCAGCCTGCTCAGGGGGCTTCCCGGCGGCGGCGGCGGGGGCTCAGATGCTTCACGTGTCCCAGGGAGCGGGAGGGCGCCCTCGCACGCTGGGGGGAGGGGGGCTGATTCTGGGTCAGGAGGAGGACCGGCTGGCTCCAGGGAACAGAGTGCAGGAGGAAGGCAGGGAGTTCGGGGTGGGGGAGGTCAGGGTGAGGGTGTGGGCCAAAGCGAAGGGACGCTGCCCCTCCTTCCTGCCCCCATGGCCGAGCCCCAGCCTCATCCTTCCCTGCCTGGATCTCCGCCCCCTCCCCCGCCTCTTCGCTGGCCTCCCGGCCTCCTCGCAGCCACAGGGTCTGTCTTCACCCAGGAGGCCCCTGCCCTCCTGGTTTATCCTCCCAGCGCCCCAGGACAGAGTCCCGGCCGGGGGCCTGGCTCCAGTCCGTTCACCAGGTTTACGTTCACTAGAGGCCTGTGCTCGGCATTGGGGGTGTCCCTCAGCCCGGCCCGCACCGCTGGCAGGCAGACATCCCCGGGGGGGCCTTAGCCTCTCCCGCCACCGCCACTGGGCTCACCAGCCGTGAGCCGGGCTTCTGGCTGAGTGTCTGCCCCTGGTGGTCAGTGCGCGTCATAGCGACCGGTCGTTCCTCCGATCGGTCGGTTTGCACGTTAGGGTTTTATTTTATAGGATAGGCATCCCCCCTCCAGTCCCACCAGACACGCCCTTCCCTGTCAACGGTTTCCTTTCCCAAGACCACGGTCAGCCACGTGGTGGTCAGCTACGTAGAGGTGACCACAGCCTCCAGCAAAAGCCCTGCCCGGCTGGCGTGGCCCGGTGGTTGAGCATTGACCTATGAACCAGGAGGTCACAGTTCGATTCCCAGTCAGGACACAGGCCCCGTGGCGGGCTCGATCCCCAGGGTGGGACGTGCAGGAGGCAGCCGATCGGTGATTCTCTCTCATGATTAGTGTTCCTGTCTCTCTTCCTCTGCCTACCTCTCTGAACTCAATAAAAATCTATTAAAAACAAAACAAAAAAAAAAAAAACAGCCGGGACTGGTTTGGCTCAATGGATAGAGCGTCGGCTTGGGGACTGAAGGGCCCCGGGTTCGATTCCGGTCAAGGGCATGTACCTTGGTTGCGGACATATCCCCAGTAGGGGGTGTGCAAGAGGCAACTGATCAATGACTCTCTCTCATTGATGTTTCAAACTCTCTATCTCTCTCCCTTCCACTCTGTACAAAAATCAATAAAATCTATTTTTTTAAAAAAATAACAAACCAATAACAACAAGAAAACCCTGGCACCATGGCTCAGGTGAGCGTCCGTGGGAGCATGCTGTCACACAGCTCCACGGAGGGACGAGGGCTGTGCATGCCCGTCCGCAGGAGAGGCCCCGGAGCTGGCGCCCCGTCTCTGCCCGCCCCACGCGCCTCCACCCTGCCACAGGCTGGCAGTGGCTGTGCGTCCGCCAGCTGAGCCAGCCTCTGAGTCCCTCTAGTGCAGTGGTCGGCAAACTGCGGCTCGCCAGCCACATGCGGCTCTCAAGCCGCGGTTTGGTTGACTAATGAGTTTGCCGACCACCATCACAGGCTACCCTTTACCCCTTTGCACACAATATGCCACAACTCCTCACAGCTTCCAACTCCACGGTAACAGTCTAGCCGTGGCCGGCAAACCCAGTCCACAGAGCCGCAACATGTGGCTCGCGAGCCGCAGTTTGCCGACCACTGCTCGGGTGCACCAGGGAGCCTGAGGGGGGTCTTGGGGACCCCCGGGTTGCAGTCCCCATCTTGCCTCTATCCGCATTACTCGTCTGTCTATCAATCATCTACTTACCTACCTACGTTTTCTACAAATTGTGAATATCTGTGTCCGGCCCAGATCTCTCCTGACAAACCCAGATTCATCACTGCCCGCTGGCAGCCTCCCCCTGGACGGCGAAGGGCCCCAGCAGAGCCCCCACATCCCCCCCCCCCCCCCGCTCCCTGCCCCCCATCTCAGCTGATGACAGCCCCATCCTCCCACCTCCTGAAGCTGCACGCCCCGCAGACACCCTGGCTCCTGTTTCTCTCACACCCACCTCCACCCTGTCAGCACCGCGTCCTGGTTCCACCTTAGAAACACAGTCTTTTGGCTCCACTGCCCGGCCGACGCCCTGGCCACCGCCCCGCTGCTCCCGGCACCTCCCCCTGGACTCCCTCCGCGGAGGGCCGTGCCCCACCTCGCCGCCAGAGGGCGCCGGCGAACACCGAAGTCCGGGCCCTCCTGGCTCAGCCTCCCCGGCTCCGGCCTCGCTCATGGTCAGCCACAGCCCAGGCGGCCCCACAACCGCGCATTTTGGCCCATTTTGGCCCGGTTGCGTCCCTGACCTCATTTCCACTCCTCCCCGCCCTTGCTCACTTGGTTCCGGCCGCACAGGCAATCCTGCGGGTCTGCAGACACATCCCTCCCACCAGAGGGCCTTTGCACTGACTCTCCCCCTGCCTTCTCCCTTCACCCCCCCCCCCCACCCTTTACTCAGAAGGACCATTCTCCCTGGGCAACCCCCTCCCTAACCCTCACCCTCACCCTCTGCTCCGCGACGTGAATTTCCCACCTTGGACCTAGTCACGGTTTTCCCTTTTCGGTCCATCTGTTCTCTGCCCTTTAACATGTGGACTCCCATTTGTTGTTGTTGTTATTATTACTATTATTATTATTATTAGTTTACTGCTGGTCCAGGTCAGGGCCAGGCGTAGTCGGTGCTCAATCACTAGGTGTCAATCTCATCTGTGCCCTCTGCCTCCCTCCCTCCTGCCCCCTCCCGTCCCCGGCGGGCACCTTGGCCTTGGAGTTGAAGAAGGCCTTTGTGAAGAGCTGGATGGGCAGGTGGGAGCTCATGAGGCGGGGGCTGGACTGGTCCGAGAGGCTGAAGGCGCCCATGATGGTCTCGCACCAGGGCGCCCGCTTCCAGATGGGCACCGAGCGGATCCAGGCGGGGTCGCCGTCCTTCAGGATCAGGCTGAGGATCTCGATCATCCAGTTGGTGCCTGGCGGGGAGCGAGGGGTGCGTGAGTGGGAGACGGGGACGGGTGAGGGACCAGGGGGTGGGGAACGGGGTTTGGCACGGCCGCCTGGACTGCACACGTGGCTCCGGGCTTTTTCCTCATGACCAGCGGGGACCAGGCTGTCTGCCTTTTTTAAAAAAATTTCTTTATTGATGAAGGTATCCCATATTTGTCCTCAACCCCCCATTCCCATCCCCGGCCCCCACCCCCATTGTCCTCGACCCCTGGTTAGGCTCGTATGTGTGCACACAAGTCCTCTGGTTGATCTCTCCCTTGTATCCCCACCCTCCCTCTGGGGCCCAGCGGTCTGACCCCTGGCTCCTTGTCTCTGGGCCTGTTCTTGCCCATCCGCCTATGTTGTTGGCTGTCTTTACTTGCAGAGCCGGAAGCAGCTCACAGAAATAAGGTCGCCAGCCCTGGTGGCGGGGCCGGCCAGCCCTCCATCCAACCCCGTTCCGCTTTCCTGCGGGGACGGGGACGGGACCACGCGGCTCCCGGCAGCTGTGCGGGGCCACGTGACCCAGCTCCAGCCAAGGACAGACGTGCAGGTGGCCGTGGTGTGCGGCGGGTTCCAGGCCTGGCCCATAAAAACCTGCCACGTGACTCTCTCTCTCTCTCTCTCTCTCTCTCTCTCTCTCTCTCTCTCTCCTTCCCTCCCCGGCTGCTGGCTGGAGGCAGAGATGCCAGTGGAAACTGAAGCTCCCAAGGATGGCAGAGCCACAGACCGAAGGAGCCAGGCCACTGGGTTACCCCCCCAGCCCCCCCCCCCCAATGCGCGCACGCGCGCGCACACACACACACACACACACACACACACCCCTCCCTCCCTGTGTCCCGCACTGGCTGGCGTGTGCAGGATGAGACATAAACGTCTGTGGGGCCCAGCGTCTTAGGCTCTGGGGCTTGTGTGTTAGGGCCGAAGGACTCGCTAATACGCGGAGGGGCTGGCATTGAATCCAGGCATCGACTTAAAAAAAAAAACTCAGCTCTTTTTACTGCCCCTTCTTGGGAGTAACCCGCAGATTTCGTGGGGGAGGGGGCCACCAATGACAAGCAGGAGGAAGAGCCCTCATCAGGGATCCGGTTCCCGGGCGTGGATGCTGGGGGGCTCCAGGCAAGTCCGACCGGAAGTGATGATGGTGATGATGATGATGGTGCTAGAACCCCCTCTTGTGAGTGTTATGTTGCCTTGGGTCCTACCAAGCGCCCCAGGCCCGTTCTCCGCCCTGCCTCCGGGCTCCGGACCCCTCTCTGCTGCCCGGTGCTGAGACACTGGGGCTGACACCCCCCTCCCTCCTTCCCCACCCCCCTTCCCCTCTCCCCACCCCCCCTCCCGCCCCGCCCCTGGCCCTGCAAACATTTCTCCTTCGCCCGCCGGCGCAGTGCCAAGATCCGCCAGCAGAGGGCGCCGGAGGACCCTGCAGACAGAGGACGGGCCTCTCCTCCCGTTTGCACAGGCGCCTCTCCCGGCACCAACGTGATGGACAGAGGCCCGGGCTGCAGGCGCCGGACCCTCACTGCCCGCCCCCCCCCCCCCAGCAGCATTCCCCGGCGGCTCTGCTCCAGCCCGAGGGCGGCCTGCCCGGTGCATTCACTCTCCTGTCTCCGTCACCCCTGTGGCCAGGGAAGAGCCCTCTTTGTGGGTGTGAGGTAGAATACACAGCGTGCAAGTGGCCAGTGCACCCGTTTGAAGTGTGTGGTCCGGGGGCATTAAGTGCCAACACCGCCCCCCGCATCTCCGCTCAGCCTGCCGCTGGGGGGCAGGCTGCCGCCTGGACGGAGGGACATGTGCCTGCACCCCCCGCCACTGCCAGCACACAGCCCTTCGACCAAGCAATGGTCGAATCTTGGAGCTTATTCCACGTAATAAAAAAATACTTGTGCAGCCGAGACCGGTTTGGCTCAATGGATAGAGCGTCGGCTTGGGGACTGAAGGGACCCGGGTTCGATTCCGGTCAAGGGCATGTACCTTGGTTGCGGGCATATCCCCAGTAGGGGGTGTGCAAGAGGCAGCTGATTGATGACTCTCTCTCATCAATGTTTCTAGCTCTCTATCTCTCTCTCCCTTCTTCTCTGTACAAAATCAATAAAATATATTTAAATAAAAAAAAAAAAAAAATACTTGTGCAGCCCTGACCGGTGTGGCTCAGTGGTAGAGCGTCGGCCTGCGGACTGAAAGGTCCCAGGTTCGATTCCGGTCAAGGGCATGTACCTTGGTTGCGGGCACATCCCCAGGAGGGGGTGTGCAGGAGGCAGCTGATCCATGTTTCTAACTCTCTATCCTTCTCCCTTCCTCTCTGTAAAAAAAAAAAAATAAGTCAATAAAATGTATTTAAAAAAATACTTGTTCAAATGTGTACGCGTCCACGTGATGTATGTGCAAGAAGGGGGATCGTGCATAAAGTTCACACTGTGGCCCCAGCCGGTGTGGCTCAGTGGACAGAGCGGACAGAGCTCCAGCCTTCGGATGGAAGGGTTCCGGGTTCGATCCCCCAGTAGGGGGCAAGCAGGAGGCAGCCGATCCATGATTCTCTCTCATCATGGATGTTTCTATCTCTCCCTCTCCCTTCCTCTCTGGAGTCAATAAAAAATGTATTTTTAAAAAGCTTACATGGTGCTACGGGCACAGGACTGGAAGGCAGTAAGTGCCGGTCAGCGAGGGGCTGGTGGAGGCGGGCCAGGCCAGCGTGGCGCTGAGGAGGGGCTGGCGGAGGCCCCACGGGGTGCGATTCCGATGATCGGAAATGCCCAGAGCAGCGAGCCAGGCCGGACGCGGGTTAATGATCGCCAGGGGCTCGGGGGCAGGAATGTGGAGGGAGCCGCTGTCCTGTTGGGGTGATGGAAATGTCCTGAAGCTGGTGGTGGCGATGGGTGCCCAGCCGTGAATGCGCCACAGCCGTGGATGGCACTTTAACGCGGTGAACGGCCCGGCCGGCGTGGCTCAGGGGCTGAGCATTGACCCGGGAAGCAGGGGGTCAGGGTTCGATTCCCGGTCGGGGCACAGGCCTGGGCTTCAGGCTCCATCCCCAGTGGGGGGCGCGCAGGAGGCAGCCGATCCGTGATTCTCTCCCATCGTCGATGCTTCTCTCTCTCTCCCTCTCCTTTCCTCTCTGAAATCAATAAACATGTTTTATTTTTTTATTTTTTTAAAAAATATATTTTATTGATTTTGTACAGAGATAGAGAGTTAGAAACATCAATGAGAGAGAGTCATCGACCTGTGGACTGAGGGGTCCTGGGTTCGATTCTGGTCAGGGGCATGTACCTTGGTTGTGGGCACATCCCCAGTGGGGGGCGTGCAGGAGGCAGCTAATGGATGTTTCTAACTATCCTTCTCTCTTTCTCTCTGTAAAAAATCAATAAAATAAAATTAAAAAAAAGATAAAGCGTGCAGCTGCTGGCAGCCTTCCCGGGGGAGGAAGAGGGACAGGAGGGGGCGCTCTTTTAGCCCCGGCGTCAGGGGGCTCCCGGGGACTGAGCTACCCTGGGGCAGGACAGGGACCCAGGAGGCTGCTCCTGGGGGGGACCCGCCAGCACCAAGGCCAAGGCCACTGGCTAGAACAGCCCAGCCCCCTGCGCTCCCCCCCACTGTCCGGTGCCCCCGCCCCCGCCCCGCCCCCACCCACTGTCCGGTGCCCCTGCCCCCCCCCCCCACTGTCCGGCGCCCCCGCCCCCCCCCCCCACTGTCCGGCGCCCCCGCCCCCCCCCACTGTCCGGCGCCCCCGCCCCCCATCCTTGGGCCCCGCCCCCATCCTTTGAGCCCCGCCCCCATCCTTGGGGCCCCGCCCCCATCCTTGGGGCCCCGCCCCCCATCCTTGGCCCCCCATCCTTTGGGACCCCGCCCCCATCATTTGGGCCCCGCCCCCATCCTCAGGGCCCCGCCCCCATCATTTGGGCCCCGCCCCCATCCTTGGGCCCCGCCCCGGCCGGTACCTGACTTGGGGTAGGTGACGATGAAGATGTCGTCGTCCTGCACCTCGGCGTCCTCCGTGAGCCGGATGCTCTCCGGGGAGTAGATGCCCACGGGGAAGGGGACGCCCTTGTAGCGGAAGTACTCGCCCGACAGCTTCCGGCTGCAGGAGCGGGTCAGAGGTCACGGGAGGGCGCAGAAGAGGGCGCGAGGAGGGGGCGGGGGTCAGAGGTCACCGGGAGGGCGCCAGGAGAGGGGCGTGAGGAGGGGGGCGGGGAGGAGGGGGAGGGGGGGCGGTGAGGAGGGGGAGGGGGCGGTGAGGAGGGGGAGGGGGGCGGTGAGGAGGGGGAGGGGGGCGGTGAGGAGGGGGAGGGGGCGGTGAGGAGGGGGAGGGGGTGCGGTGAGGAGGGGGAGGGGTGCGGTGAGGAGGGGGAGGGGTGCGGTGAGGAGGGGGAGGGGGGCGGTGAGGGGGAGGGGCGGTGAGGAGGGGGAGGGGGGCGATGAGGAGGGGGAGGGGGGCGGTGAGGAGGGGGAGGGGGGGCGGTGAGGAGGGGGAGGGAGCGGTGAGGAGGGGGAGGGGGGGCGGTGAGGAGGGGGAGGGGGCGGTGAGGAGGGGGAGGGGCGGTGAGGAGGGGGGGCGGTGAGGAGGGGGAGGGGGGCGATGAGGAGGGGGAGGGGCGGTGAGGAGGGGGAGGGGGGGCGGTGAGGAGGGGGAGGGGGCGGTCAGGAGGGGGAGGGGAGGCGGTAAGGAGGGGGAGGGGGCGGTGAGGAAGGGGAGGGGGAGCGGTGAGGAGGGGGAGCAGGGGTCAGAGGTCGGGGGAGGGTGCAGGGCCGGGGCCTGCCCGGTGTCCAGCTTCACAGCGAGGTCAGCAGGACACACAGAGCAGCGGAGGGGAGGATTCTGGGGGAGAGCGCGGCCGGGGGCGGGTGTTGGGGGGCAGGTGAGGGCGCCCCTCGCCTCGCTGGGGGAGCCTTGGCGAGGGGCGTTCTCTGCCCCCGCAGCCCCCCGAGGTGACGGGACAGAGCCCTCACTTTATGGGGGAGGAAGCGAGGCACAGAGAGGCTGGGTGACTTCCCACAGTCACACAGCTGGCGGCGGGAGCACCTCCCAGCCTCAGAGTGGGGCCGCGTGCTTCCCAGACATTCACTCTGAACCCCAACCCTCAGGGACACGCCAAGCCACCACCGCGCCTCCCGATGGGGCCCCCCAATGGGGCCCCCCAATGGGCAACGGAGGCCCAGGAGCCAGGCGCCGCCCACTGCGGCCAGGCCACGCGGCTCAGCCCACCTGCCAGCCACACGTCCAGCCACTGAGTAGCTGAAACAGTATCTAAACAAACAAACAAAAAGAGCCCTAGACCATTTGGCTCGGTGGATAGAGCCTCAGGCTGCAGACTCAAGGGTCCCAGGTTCGATTCCGGCCAAGGGCATGTACCTTGGTTGAGGGCACATCCGATCGATGTTTCTAACTCTCTATCCCTCTCCCTTCCTCTCTGTAAAAAAAAAAAATCAATAAAATATATTTAAAAGAAAATATATTTTTATTGGTTTCAGAGAGGAAGGAAGAGAGAGAGAGAAACATCCATGATGACAGACTCCTTGACCAGCTGCCTCCTGCACGCCCCCCACTGGGGATCAAGCCCACAACCCGGGCCTGTGCCCTGACCAGGTATCAGACCGTGACCTCCTGGCTCATAGGTCGCCACTCAACCGAGCCACACCGGCCGAACCCCTCAGTCCAGCTGCCCTGCCAAACCACGGGTGTGAACTGCCCAGAGATGTTTGAAGAGCTGCCTGCTCAGCTGCCGCCTCTTTCTACCCCAGCCTCCCTCCCCCTCCCGCCCCCCAGTCCCCGCGTCTCCTCCTGTGTGCGGGCGGGAGAGGGACAGGGTCCGGGACCTGGCTGGGGTGAAGATGCGTTGGGCACACAGTTCGCCGGGCGCCTGTGGGTTGCTGATGAATTCACAGTCACGTCTGTGTGCGGGGCAGCGAGCCTGCTGCGGGGGAGGGGAACTCTGGGCGTGATGGCCTCGGGCCTGGGGATTAGGGGGTCACGCGTTCCGGGGTGCCAGGCAGCGGAATGCCGGGGGAGGCGACGCGGGATCTCGGCATGCCCGCCGGAAGCCACATGTATGTGCCCGACTGTGTGGAGGGCGGGGGTCAGAGGTTACCGGGACCCCCGGTGAGGAGGGGGAGGGGGGGCGGTGAGGAGGGGGAGGGGGGCGGTGAGGAGGGGGAGGGGGGCGGTGAGCTTTCCAAAGGAAGCAAGCTGCTGTAGTTCAGTCTTTCCACAATCCCAGTAGCCTTCCCTCTTCCTAAGGTCTGGTCGCCTGTAGTGGTTCTTTTACTTTAAAAAAAATTTTTTAAAAAAAAATGGATTTCAGAGAGGAAGGGAGAGGGAGAGATGGAAACATCAGTGAGGAGAGAGAATCACCGACCGGCTGCCTCCTGCACGCCCCCCACTGGGGATGTGCCCACCACCCGGGCCGGTGCCCTGACCGGGAGTCGGACCGTGACCTCCTGGCTCATAGGTGGATGCTCAACCGCCGAGCCACGCCAGTTGGGCTGGTTCTTTTTCTTTTTAAATATATTTTTATTGATTTCAGAGAGAGGAAAGGAGAAGGAGAGAGAGAAACATCAATGATGAGAGAGAAACAGCATTGATTGGCTGCCTCCTGCACGCCCCCTTCTGGGGATTGAGCCCACAATCCGGGCATGTGCCCTTGACCGGAATCGAACCCGGGACTCTTCAGTCCACAGGCCAATGCTCTATCCACTGAGCCAAACTGGCCAGGACATGAGCTGATTCTTTTTCTTAAGGAAAACCCTCTCAAAAAGATATAAGTCTCAGCCCCTCCCTTCCCCCTCAAACCCAGTCTTAGTGGACACACCGTGTGCCTGTCCATTTGTCATATATATATATATAATTGATTTTTTTTACAGAGAGGAAGAGAGAGGGATAGAGAGTTAGAAACATTGACGAGAGAGAAACATCAGTCAGCTGCCTCTTTCACACCTCCTACTGGGGACGTGCCCGCAACCAAGGTATTAATACATGCCCCTGACTGGAATCGAACCCGGGACCCTTTAGTCCGCAGGCCGACGCTCTATCCACTGATCCACACTGGTTTCTTCGGCCTGTCCATTTGTCTTTACAGTACACTTAGGACAATACACTGAACTGAGGGGTGTGTGTAAGTAGGTTATATCGTCTGTGGGTTTATTTCGAGTTATGGGAGAGAATGTTTCAAACCTCCTGTTATATAAGGAGGCCCGGAGGTCAACTGCACAGACGAAAGCTCAGAAAGACGCCCTGGCCAGTGTGGCTCAGCTGGTAGGAGCATCGTCCAGGGCACCCAAAGGTTGCAGGTTCGATTCCTGTCAGGGCACAGGCCTGTGCTTTGGGTTCCATCCCCGGTTGGTGCCTATAGGAGGCAACCAATCGATGTTTCTTTCTATCTATACATATCCCTGTCCTATCCTCTCTCTCTCTAAAGATCAATAAAAACAAAAAACAGCCTGGCCGGTGTGGCTCCGTGGTTGAGCATCGACCTATGAACCAGAGGTCACTGTTGGATTCCCGGTCAGGGCACAGGCTGGATCCCCAGGGTGGGGCGTGAAGGAGCGTCAATGAACCAGCTGATCAATGATTCTCTTTCATCATGGATGTTTCTCTCTCTCTCTCTCTCTCTCTCTCTCTCTCTCTCTCTCTCTCTCCCCCATCGTCTCTGAAATCCATAAAAATATATTCACAAACAAACAACCTCGAAACGGAACGTTGCATGAAAAACGAGGGACACAACAGCATCCAGAGCATCTGCCCAACGATGGGAAGTTCAAAGCCAGGGGCGAGGGGCCTGTGGTGTCAGAAGGCGGGCGGTGTGACCCTTGGAGGCCTGGGGCACTGTGGGGAGAGGCAGGTGGGGGAGGGTCAATGTGGTGCCCGCTTTGCAAAATTCACTGAGCCATTGCGTCTACCTTTAACACAACACTCATGGAATGAATGAACAAAGCATTCAAGTCTCCTCATGAAAACAGCCGTTTTTAATCAAGAGGAGGCAAGCCAAAACCGGTTTGGCTCAGTGGACAGAGTGTCCGCCTGTGGACTGAAAGGTCCCAGGTTCGATTCCGGTCATGGGCATGTATGTGCCTTGGTTGCGGGCACATCCCCAGTGAGGGGCGTGCAGGAGGCAGCTGATGGATGTTTCTGTTTTTTTCTTTTCTTTTTAAAAAAATAATATATTTCTTTATTGATTTCAGAGAGGAAAGGAGGAGAGAGAGATAGAAACATCAATGATGAAAGAGAATCATTGACTGGCTGCCTCCTGCACCCGCCCCCCCCCCCCCCCACTGGGGACTGAGACTGCAACCCAGGCATGTGCCCTTGGCCGGAATCGAACCCGGGACCCCTCAGTCCACAGGCTCACACTCTGTTCACTGAGCCAAGCCAGCCAGGGCAATGTTTCTAACTTTCTATCCCTCTCCCTTCTTCTCTGTAAAAATTAAAAAAAAAAAAAAAAAAATATATATATATATATATATATATATATATATATATATATTGATAGAGAGAGGGAAAGAAGAGAGAGAGAGAGAGAGAGAGAGAGAGAGAGAGAGAGAGAGAGAGAGAGAGAGAGAAAACTGTCCTGGAGCTGGATGTCACATGCTCTGTGCCTCAGTTTCCCCAACGGTAACATGGAGGTAAGAGGAGCAGCCCAGTGTCTTGGTGAATCGTACAAACCCCGGAGTCAGAATACGGGGCTTTGAAGTCTATGTCCCAGCCACTGTGTGGCTGTGGGCAGTCCCTCAGCCTCTCTGTGCCTCTGTTTCCTCGTCCATCAGATGGGGATGATAATAACCGTTGCCTCCATGAAAAAAAAAGTGCCTGGCTTAGATCTGTGCCGGGCATGGAGTGAGCACAATATAAACGCTCGTTAATTTCCCTAACAGTTGTAGCAGTGGGAGGGTTTGATGTGCCAACAGCCGTAAAAATGATTGGCTCACGGTCTGAGGCCATAAACCTGGGCTAACGTTATCATTATACGCCGATAGAGGCAGCATCGGACAGGGTGTGAGCCCGGAGGCGGGGCTGCACAGCACAGCACAGCACAGCGTTTGGCACTTAGTAGGCTCTCCTCCCGGTGTCATGACTTTACTGTTCAG